CCATTTCTCATTTTCTAATCTTCGAAATTAAGATTATACAGAATAATGAATTTCTTGTTTTGGCTTTCTCAATTTAATTTTTTGTATTTAATTCGTTAAATGTTTTTAAGTTAACGCTCTCCTTATTTTATCATTTAAAGATAGTGTATATTCAAATATCATATTCGTTAAAATTAATATAATTATAATATATGTATTTATTAATTTTGGAAAACAATATTATTTATTAAATTAAATATTATTCATATTGTTTAAACAAATATTTAACACAATAGAATACATAAAAATATTAGTTTTATTAACATTATCATAGCAGCCAAAGTAGTCCTGACATCTCGTAAGTGTAAAATTAATCAACAGAATTTTCTTATTGCCAAATCTCCATTAGATTTTCAACCTTTTCTTTATCAAAGGGGAATATTATCATCCCAAGCATTAAAAAATCAAAAAGTAATTAAGATAGATATATAAAAAATACTTACCCTTAGAAAATTACAAGTTTAAGTCCCCAACAAAATATGAACAAACCATTTACAAAAGCGAAAAAACCTATTAAACCATAAATGAATCCAATTTCCTTTTGGTTTTCTTTCATAATAAATAATGATGATAACGTAGCGTATTATGCTATCCTAAATAACAGATAAAGTGAGTAACTATTGTATTCTAATTTATATACTAATATTGAAAAACCTAACTCAAACATAAAAAAACTTATTATTAAGTTCTCAAAAGGTTATTCAGCGAATTGAAATTTAAATAAAATAGATCTTATTCTAATAAATTCAATAACAAGGAAATAATATATAATAATTCCTATTATTATTTGAAAGAATATAATCCAAAATATTTAACTTTACAATTTTAAAATGATAAATCCATATAAATCCATTAAAAAATAATAAGCAAATTGATATTTAAAATGATAAGCAAAATCATAATTAAATGCATAAACAATTAAATGAAATGAATATTACTTAACTCTCAAAAATAAATAAATTAATTCATACAATGGCATATTATATTCATGTTAATAAAAATACTTAATACAAATTTATATAGAATATGCTAATTAAGTAATTAAGTAGAGGATTGTAATATTTATAATGTATTACTAACAATCGCTTGATAAAAATCTCTCTAATCTAAATTAAATATAACTGCATGCTTATAAATAATATTTAGAAATCGTATATAGTATAAGATTTAATAGAACTAAACAATAATGAAAACATCCTAGTGCAATTTAACTAATAATAACCCAAAAAAAGATGCTTTCATATTTTAATTCAAGTAGACTGAATATATTTATTAAAGTATCCATAATATAATGATAAATTAATGCATGATCTTTATTACCATTTTCATAAATTAATAATGTAGAAATGTATTGAATCATTCTTATTATCTGTTACCAAAATATAAAATTAGAAAACTCATAAACTCGAAATAAATTGAAGCTAATTGATGTCACACAAATGGATAAAATTAAATAATACCAAAGTAGATCATCTAGTCTCTGAGATTGCTTACAAGTCAAAATATTTAAGAGATATGAGAATATAGTGTAGAATAAACAGTAAATCAATATGCAACCTAAAACTATCACACCAATTAGTAATTATGATAAAATAATCCATAAAATCACAACTTTAATTTATATAAGATATAATCCATATTAATCCATTAAAAAATAATACCATAAGTGGTATTTTAAATAGTCCTCTTAATCTTAATTTCTTCTATAAAATACAACATGAATAAAATATTAGATTGCCTTTAGCACAAGATATATAATATCCTACTTCTCATAATTCGATTGCCAATTCAAAGTCAAACAAAAAAGAATAAAGTTGAATTAAACAGTTAAAAAGAATTTGACCAATTTAATTAATATTTCTTACCATTCTAGCATTATCGAAATTTTATTTGTTTTATTTAATTTATATTTATGTAAAAATTAAATATTGTTTCAAATAATTCTAAAATATTCTATTGCATTGTTTTTGGAAACAAGAAATTTTATAAAAGAAATTTAAGTAAATAGAATTAAGAATCAAATATTAATATAATTTCTAATAATTTTTCTAATGAACAAATAAAAATTCATAAGGAAATCTATCTTTATATAATATTCTAAATGGGAATTGATTTGAATATAATTTTTAATTGAGTTCAGTTCTAAACTTAAATCACTAAACTTAGAATAGATTTTATGTTTTAAAATAATTTACATATTCATTTTTATTCATAATTATATATACCTTATATAATAATTTGATTATAAATTATATTATTATATTTATAATAATGAAAATAATAATTGACGCCATAAATTATGAATCAGATTAGAATAATTATTAAGTAAAGTTAAAATGTGGACCAACAGTGTTATAAACAATTTTAGGAAATAATTGGAATCACAGGTTTGTTTTAGAACATAAAAAAACATCAGAAATTAGAATTGAAGTTTGGTAGAAACCTAATGATGAATACTAATTAATTGGAGATTCAATAGTTTAGAGAATAGAAGGTGCATAAAGATTGACAATAAAATAGAATAACAAGGATTAGGGTTTTATCAATGTATTTTATAAAGAAATGAAGGACTCAGTTACATAATAAATTCTTAGTTAAGACTCATTGAATGTAAGTATTAAATGAAATTTAGTTATCAAAAATAGAAAAATAAGCATAAGCTGTATAGAGATTGAATGATTCATTATCAATGATTCCTAGTCCACGATAAGATTTTGGATCTGTAAGTGAATATTTCACTTAATAATTTAAAAATGAAGATATTGTAGGAAATTCAAAGTAAGTAGCTTAAAAAATTGTATAAGAATCATTTGATAAAATTGTATAAAATATTTAAATTGCAAAAGAGACACATCTTTAAGAGGATGATGAATATGTAGAAAATGAAATAGAAAAAAAAAATATAGAGAAAGTGTAAAAGTAATTAATGAAAATTGATTGTAAAAAATTAGAAAAGAAAAGAAAATAAATAAGTTCTGAGATTCTATAATTAGATGAGATAGCTTAAAAATTAAGAATAGATTAGATAGATTAAAAATAATAAATATAAAATTTAAGATAAGATTTGTTATAGAAATTGCTTTATCTTGAAGAATAGATAGAACATTTAAAGAAGAAAATAAGAAATTAGAAACATCATGTTTTTGGAACAAATCCTAATTTAGTAAATAGTGAAATAGAAATTAGCTAAATTAATTTATAAAAACAATTTATTGAAAAATGGTAATAAGATCCTAGTTTAGAAAAATAAAGATAAGAATTTATATCAAAATAAATATAAGAATGGAATGATATTTAAATTAAAAGAAAAAAAAGAATTGATGAATAATTTAAAAAGATTGAATAAGAAGAAAAAATAATATAATAAAAATAAAATGAACTTTAATAGACAACAAATGCTAAAAAAAGAGAGGAGATAGAAAAGAATTTAAAATAATTAGAAGAACAATAAGCAAAACGAAAGATTGAATTAGAAGAAGCTAATAAGAGATTTGAAAAAAAGAAAAAAGAAAAATATCTTGCCTTAAAGTATGCAGAATAAGATGCAACATATATGATTTAATTGTAATAAGAAAGAAAAAAAATATTGGCTTAAAATAAAAATCCAGATTTTGATGCAAAAGAAATTAAAGAATTTGAAGATAAATTTAATTAAATTCATATTGAAAAATAGAAAAAACGTAGAGTATAATGGGAAGAAAGAGAAGCTTAATGGAATAAATTTAAAGCTTAATATTATTCATCTTCATATCAAAAAGCTAAAGAATAATATAAAAAAATTGAAAATGTAATTGAATAAGAAAAATAAGAAAGATTAAACAAATTATCATAATATATATAAGAAGTAAAATAAAATCATAAACCTACTATATCTGAAGAACTTTAAGAGAAATTAAATTTAATAAAAAATACTATAAAACATTAAAATGATTTTAAAAAATATTAGTCACTCTCTAAATTAGTTCAATCTAAACACTAATATTATGGTGTTAGTAAAGAGAAATTATTAAAAAATACCAAAAAACATAAACTTATACCTTTGACGAAATTACCAATTAAAATATCTCCAAGAGAAGTTGGAGATTTTTATTTAAAATAAAATGCCACTTACAATATAAAAAATATTCCACCAATAAAATAAGTTTAGAAAAATGATAATGAACTTAAAGAATCAGCAACATCTTTGCCAAATCCTAAAGTATTTGATTATTTAAAACACTAAAGGATAAAGAAAGCTTTAAAAGAAAAAGTAATAATATATATATATATACTATTTATAGAATACAACAATTGAAAAAAATATCCTATAAAAAGAAGATTAATAAATGCTTGATAACATTAATAAAAAGCTTGAAGCTTTAAAATGAAATTTCATTAATTTTTATTCAATTTATATCAATTTTTGTTGATTAATTGATTATTCTTAAAATTAATAAATTTATTAAAAATATTTATCATAATCTAGAAAGATTAAGATTATCAATTATAATTTATTATAAATCTATTACTCATTCCATAATTAATATAATTATACAATACTTGAAATCATCTTCTTATTATATTCTATAAATAATAAAAATTAACATTAATAGTTTCAAATTTTCTTATAAAATAATAATAAAATAATTATTGATATTTATAAATAAATTAATGTTTTTAAAAAATAATTACACATACCCATAGTTCCTCAGAATTAAGAAAATGAATATTCAAAATAGTCTTTTGAAGAAAATGTTTTGAAAATTTAGAATGTTTCATTGGCAACTAGGTTGGACTATTTAAAAAAACAATAAAAGACAAAAATAATGAATCACAGAATATATATTAGATATTTAATAGTCAATATTTAATGTGTAATAATATAGAAGTACAATTAAAAAATTAAGCAAGTCTTAAATTTGAGTAATTTCTGAGAATTATTGAGGATATATTTTGAGATATCTCTGGAATACAGCGAATTTATGGAGATGATAAAAAATAGAACAAATTAATTATTAGATTTAGAAGAGTAAGATTATATGAAATATATTAAAAAAATTAATAAGTACAAATAAAGAAGTGGTTAAAAGAAATTAGGATCTAGAATAAAATTTGAAATAGATTTAAAGAATAAAGGAAAAGAAATTAAGTGAGTAAATTAAAATCATAGAGAATTAGTAAAACAATTAGGATTATATAAATTATTATATTAAAAATTACTATCTGATTAGATTACAACTAAAATTGAGAGAGATTGTTATTCATAAAAAATATAAAAATCTAAATTAATTAATGATAAATCTTTAATTGAAATAGATAAATTAAAAATAAAAATAATTGAATTAGAAGTCAATATCGAATCTATTAAATAATCTTGTTTAATTAAAATAAATTAAAGGATATTTTCATATTAACGAAAGATGATTCCATATTTAAAAATTTAACTTAAAGAAGTCATCATATAAAAGTGTATCCATATGCTTTGTAAATCATGTAGAGAAATTGAATAATTAAAAGAATTATGTCCTATTTGTAAGGTCAGTATAAATTTAGTGGATATTTGGGCAACTAAGGTTTAGGAATGAATAATAGAGTATTAATTATTAAATTTTTATAAAAATATTTATCTCATATGGTATAATATTACTTAATTATGTTTATCAAATATTAATTGCTTGAATTATCTTTATTTTTATGGTTAAACTCTTGATACTTAATTCATCTTTTATATGTTATTTAGGAATAATTTAAAACGAATTTCTTTGTGTCAATTACTGGCAGTCTTGTTTTTTAAATAATTCAAAAAAGATGTTCGTAAAATCATATTAAAATATTTTAAATAATTATGAATTAAACTTCATCTAGAGAATATGGAAACCTTCAAAGTTCAAATTCTTCAAGAATCTAATCTAACCCTTCTATAAAAGCAAATTAAAAATTACATTAATAAATGCCATTAAATGAATTCATTATGCAATATCCTTGTTAACCAAAAGACTCAATTACATATGATTTAAATGGATTTGATATAGACATAAAAGAACATTAAATATTTGATTCATATTCAAATAGAAGTAAATAATAAAATTCTTAATCAATGATTATTTTGGCAGTATGATATTTAATTTGATATAGGAAAGGAGAAAAATTACTTCTCCATCAGTAAAAAAAAGAAAAAAAAAAATGAAAATGGAATAAATTATCCAAAAATTTATTGAAAAAATAAAGATTAGTAATAATGTATTTACAAAGTAACCTTATGTTAATACACTCTTATAAACGTATTCAATTCCATTTGTTTAAGAAAATACTAATAATAAAAGTATTATAGATAAAATAAAGTAATCTGTAAGGCTTCCTATCCCAAGACAATGTAAGTTTAGATAATTTTGGAAATTATTAATGTAAATAACTTACTTAACTACTATTATTTTTTCTCCACTGATTTTAATTTATCCCAGTAACATTTAAATTTATGCTTTATTATTTGTTTAATTAACATTATTAGTATTTAATTCAATATTAAATTTGAATACATGCTTTTACAAAAATGGAGTAGAGATAACACATTTAGCTACAATTCAATTAAATTATATTAGAAGATATGGATTACAGGATATTATGTAATATCTATCATTTATTATTATTTTATAATTTTGTGAATCTAATTCATAGATTTCAATTATTGCTTTAATTACTTTGAATCTTTTAATTGTTAGATTAATCAAACTAAATTCATTGATAACATAACAACATTGTATTATGTTATTTTGGCAATTTATTAAAGGATTATCATATTGTCATATTTTTTCATTAATTTCGATTTCATACAAAGATGAAATTGGTTTTGAACCAATAAGTTTATAATTAAAAACTTATTTAAGCTATCTTAATGAATATATTAATTAATATTTGACTTTATCAAGTTCTTTAGTAAACAATACAAATTTTGAATTGTTATTAGCTTTTTTAGTTTAGCTAATTTTTACAATAAATAGAGTAAAATTAATTTTAGACATCTTATTTTTTTTTCATCAAAATGTTCATAAATATTTATTGTAAAAAAACTATTTTGATTTAAAAGCTTATTTACACAATCATTAAGTTGATTAAAATTTAATGAAAAAAGCACTTAGTAATTATAAATTTGAAATGAAAAAAGATTTTTAATAATAAAATTTCATGATTGATTCTTAATCTATTAAATATATAGATTATGAAATTTAAAAGGCTATTTAAAATAGTGTAAATGCAAAATATTTTAAGAAAATTGTAGTATTATCATAATTTTCATAAAATATTTAAGAAAAATTAGTTGAAAATATGTCATTACATTATTTTCAACCTAATGAAATAATATTAAAATAAAATAACAGAGATGATGATTCAATATATCTTATTAAAAAAGGATAAGTAAAGGTATGTTATTAAAGTGGAAATAAAAAATAATTTGGAATTAAATCATTAGGAGAAATGTAAACATTTGGTGAAGTATCCTTTTTTACTGGATTACCTAGAACAAGTACAATTGTTAGTCTAGGTCCTGTTGAAACATATAAAATTAGTAGAAATGATTTTTTAGAAGCAATTAAAAATAATCGTCAAGATTTGGTAAATTTAATAATTAAAATAGGAAATAGCAACTTATATGAAAGATTAAATTTTATAGAATAATTAATATGGTTTGATTGGTTTAAAATGTTTTTGTTGTAAATCAAATGAACATTTAATATTTTAATGTGATAAACTTCATTATAAACCTGATAAAGAAAAGATTATTAGTAAATACTAATATGATCATCATTAACTAAGAAGAAAATGTATTAATTAAATTAATCTATGAATAGATAAAAGAAATCTGAAAAGAACAAATAATAGTAGAATACATCTATTCCAAATAGGAATGGCTGGTGAAGAGTTTTAAGAAAATAATTTTTTTATAGAAGATGAATCAGAAATACTTAAAGAATTAACATAAAATTATAATTATTAATCTTCTACTAATATTTAACAAAATCAATCTTAAGCAATTGGATTCTTTCCAAGTAGGGAGAGAATAAAGTCAGTTGATAAAAATAGCATATTATTAATAAGTGAATTAGATGATGTTAGAGAGTAATTTTAAGAATTAGATCCAGTGATTCATAAAAAAGACAAAGCTCTTTTCCCTTCTAATAATAATTTTCCAATAAAAGAAGTAATCTAAGAACTTGATGGTGAAGATTAGAGTTCAAATTCTGAAGATATTATACCTAATGATATTTGTTTAACTAATTTGCAACCTAATTCAGAGAAATAAAAGTAAAATAATAATTTATTAACTATTCCTGATAAAGATAAACTTTAAGAAATGTTAATAATTAATTCTAATTGCCAAATTTAGTAAATGAGTAATAGTTGTTAAATTCTAAATTCTCAGGAAATGAAAAATTCAAGATAAAGTAGAAAATCATTAAGTTCAACTTTGTTACATAATCAGTAAAATGAAGTCATTAAAAAACATGAAAATTTGAAATCGTCTAGTAGTAAATAGAATTATTATGACGATTTCGAATTAAATCCTTCGGATCGATCTTCACCGGGGATGAAAAAGATAACTAAAAGTCCTATATAAAATAAAGCTAAGATTGAAGAAAGTCCATAAATCTTTGTAGATCTAAATAACTCTGTAATTTAGAAACTATAATTTAGAGTCATTTTTTCTGTTTAGAAGATAAAGAAGAATTAGACAAAGCATAAAATTACATATTTTATTATCCATATTACAATCCTGAATTCATAATAAATTCGTAAGTTATATAATTAATAATAGATATAATCAATTTAAAATTCATCGAATCTAAAAATTCATTAAAAAAAGTCCATATACTATTAGCTATGTTATTAGTGAAAAAATTAAATAAAAAGTCCTTATAAAATGATATCAATTCAAATATATTCTATATTATAAAATATTTATAATTTGATTATAAAATCAAAAATAAATTACTTAAGATATTGATTAATATAAAATTAAACTACAATATCATTAAAGTTGCTAAAGATTTTAAATATCACAATTTTTATAATATCACTCCCTAACTTTAGAAGAAGATTAATTTACAGTTCTAAAATTTTTGAAAGGTGAATGATCAAATCTAGAAGATTTTGAATTTTAATATTAACTTTTAGATCTTTCATTTATTCGTTAAGAATTCACATTATCTAAGAATGCATCAACTCTTAACTTTATCTTATGTAAATTAGAATCAAAGTAAAATCTTTACATATTTTATTAAATTTTCTTATGTTTCATAAATGATTCCTAAAATCTTTCCTATTTCAAATCTGATTAACTTTACATTTAAACAAGAAATCATACATTCCAATCAATTTATTATGTAATCTTTTATTCTCACTTTCTATTCTTAACTTTTTTTCTTTTAATGCTCTTCGTCCTCTTGGAGTTCCACATTAACTTGGAGGCTAAATAAAAATTTAATATTATTAATTACTGTTGGAGATCTATTACTTATTTTAACTAATCTAGTTAAAATTTATGTATTTTATTCTTAAATTGTTTACCATTTCATAAGCTCTCTTTTTCTATTATTTAAAAATTAAGTTTTCTTGACTTATTCATATATTCTTGAATCTCTAGGAGGAGTCAACTTTCGTTATTGTACCATTCTTTTTTGATGTGCTTCATATTCTCTGAATTATTTATAATTATTACTATCTACTTAGCCAGATCTAATTAAGTTCTAGATAACCCTTTTAAAAACTTTTCATTTATTAATAATGATAATAATTTTAAATTAAATTAAATCACATAGAGGGTTATTAAATCACTATACCTTTCTTTTAAAGAACAGATAACTATTCCTTTAATACATTAGTTAACATCATTGTTTCTAAAAGAACCTTTTTTAATTCTGATTATCTCTCTTTTTTATTAATTACTTTTGATTAATGTTAATTTTAAGAATCTTATTGAATTTCATCTTTTTGAGTTCCAAAATGTTATAAACTTTTTTAACTTTTTTTATTTTCTGAAAGAACTTCCCATATTTTTAGATTTCTTCTTTCATTATATTTATTTTTTATCATATTATATTCTCTTTGAAATTCTTCTAAAGTCATATCTTTATTAAATCTATCCAGTTCATACATATGAACTTTCAAATTGCCTTATGCTGATTTATATGCTCGATAAGTAATTTTACTCTCCAATAATTATGATAATTCATTTGCTTCTCCCATTTTTATAAGCATTTCATATTCATATTCATTTTTCCCTTTAGATATAGTTAATTATAGTAATCTATCCATTTCTTTTTCTCTCTCTTTAGCTTTTTATAGATAATATTTAGATAGATTTTAAACTGGTCTTTCTTCACCACTTATATATTAAATATATAGATTACATTTTAAATTCAGTAAATCCTGATTGTTTACTTTTATAAGAGATACCACTTATTGGTCTGAAATCTTTAGGAGCAGTTCTTGTTGCAGAAGCAGATTAAGGTTTACTTTTCTTTTAAGCTGAGAACTTTCTTTTACTAGCTTATGCCATATGCAATGCTTTTTCTTTAATAAATTCAAGCATAGTATCTTAATTAAATGAAATTTTTTTACTTTCATTGTAATTCCAAGCTTATACTTTTTTACAGATATTCTCAATAGTAATTTTACCAAATTCATTTTCCAAATCACTCAATACTTGATTAATCTCTTCTTATGTAAAAGTGAAACCTAATAATATTAGGAAATATGAAAACCTGCCTAACCAAGAAATGAAACAAACTCTTCTGGAGAGGCATTGACAGAATCTGACTTCCAAAATTATTCAATTTTAATATTGTTAAATGTAACTAACTAGTTGAATTTTTGTAATGCAAAAGAAATAGGAATTGTATTATCATTTCCACTTTACTTTTTCTATGTAAATTTAGAACTTTCAGGTCTTCCATGTTTGGATTCAGGTCTTTTATCTTACTTTTTTGGTAACATTTACTATTATGTATTATATGAATAATTACTTCATATTATTTCTTCCATGTTTCTTCAAATTTGTCATCTTCACTTCCATCATCTTCTACAAAATTCTATTGATATTAAATATTTTAAATACATCTTAATCTTCATCCATTTTGAATATAAATTATAATTAATATATATATATGTCTAAATATTGATTTTGTGTATAACTGATGAATTAAACTTATAGTATATCATTTTTAATTAGAAAGTACTTAAATTAAGAAAAGAGTGAAAAATATGATGTTATATAACAAATTAATATAATGAATAATCTTCGATATGGCTAAATTGTAAGAATTTAGGGGGATTATGGAATGATAGTCACAAAAGGGTATAGTATTATGGTGATAATGTTAGATACACTTAAACAAATGTATATTATATGACTTTTACAAATTTGGCCAAGATAAGCAATTTTCGGGAGTCATTATTTTAAGTGCTTCCTAAAGGGAGCTTTGAAATTCATGATGAATTCATGAAATCTCATAAGAAGTAAACATACATATAATATTTAATTAGAGCAAATCAGGATCTACTTGATTAACGACTTAAGACAGAATTGAACTAATATTTTTCTTTTGTGGAAACCAAGATGGATGAGGAAGTTTTGTTTGGTTAAGAGATAGTATTGAAACATTATGATTCTGAATACTTTTTGGTTGGATCTTACAAATGTTCAGAATAATCAATGGAAGCATTTTAGGTAAGTCTAAGTAGTAAGCCTTCAAGTTAAGCATTATTTAGAATAGAAGCATATTAAACATATCAAAAGGATGGTTAATAAATATTTTTTGATGAACCTTTCTTATTAGTGAATACAAAACAATAATTTTGTTTAGATTTTATTGAAAAACCAATACAATGGTTAGATGATGAAAGTTGTTTAGCATATATCAAACGATTAAATGATGTACAAAGACATTAAGTGATTATTACTCATAACAGTAAGACAAGTTGGAAAATGAAGTTATTTATGAGAAATGATTAACGTATAGAAAAGAAATCAATAAGGAATTATGAATTAATTTATTTATAATATACAGAAGATGGAACTTATTTAAATGGAGAATAATAGATTGTTTCATTATAATAAGCAGGATTACACATTCCATTAACAGCTATTTGGGAATTATAAGTCTTATAACCATCTAGTGATTATAAACGTAATTAACCATAGGTAATTAAAGAAAATTAAAGGGGATCAGTTTTCTAAAATAATTTTGATTTTTTGAAGGATTTTTCAAGAGTTGCACCACGATAGAAAAGTGTTGTTGAGTATTAATAATAAGCTTAATCTTAAGTTAATAAGAAAACTCCATAATAAGAATTTATTCTTAGGAATTACATTTCAGGTAAAGTACTTACTTCTAGAGGTTAATTACCTTAATTGCATGAATATATATAAGAATCTAATTAAGTTGTAGAAATTTTAACTGCTAAATAAGGTTAATAGGAGATTGTAGAGAATTCTTATATATAATTATCTGTAGATAAGGAATTATTATAAAATGTTGAGATTGAAGACTAATGGAATGATAGTATCATAGAGAATGATGAAGTAGAGTCAACTGTTATAAAGAAACAATTATCATTTGAAGAGAAAGAACATTAACATGCTTTTTAAATTAAAAAAGTTAAAGGGAATATAAAAAACAATTTAATGTTTGTATTATCAGCTTAAGAAGTTCTTTTTTAATTTGTTTTGATTTTGAATAAATAAGTTGATATTATTTGGAAATTACTACATATTTAATAATTATCATAAGTAGTTGAAGTTATTCAATAATTGATTCAATTTTTATAATTTGAAGTTGCCAATCGTTAATAATGTATTAAGGAAACTTATATAATTGATTTGGCTATGAAAATCTTAGTTCCTATATATGAGAAGAAGTTATATGCCACTGATGTAAAGAATTAATAGAAAAAGTTGAAAAAGATATTTAAATTAACTTATTCATTGATCAAAGAATTAACTTAAAATAATAAATAACTTAAGTAAGATATGGGAAAATATTTGAAAGACTTTTTAGAATAAGCTATGGATGATGAAGCAAGAGCTTAAGATAGTTTAAAAGAATTATTAGAAGATAATTATGAATCTATTTAAAAGTTTGTTACTGATGATCATATTTAAAAAGTATTTGAAAAAATGAAATAAAATCCTAATGAAAAATATTTATCAATTCTTAGTAGTATTTGTGTTTGTAAAGGAAGAGCTATATTAAAAAATTAAATATTAATATTAAAATTAGTATTTTAAAGCAATGAATTATTAAATTTTAAATTTAGATTGAATAATAAAAATAAAGTTGAAATACTTTGTAGAATAAATAAATTAAAACCTATGTGGAGAAGAATTCGTTAAATATATTAAGAAAGTCAAGAATAAGATGGATTATAAACATGGAATTATCTTTAAGGATATTTCAATCTTTTAGGAGATGTCTGTTATAATAGAAATAAATTGGCATAAGATTTTGTAAAAGAAAATATTTCAATATCTATTTTATTAGCATTAGTAGAAGATAGTCATTCTCAATCTATAAATACATTTGAATCATATTTAAAAGTTATACATTTAGCATTTGTAGACACACCTGGATATTAAACTTTAGTGATAAGTAAAGTAATAGATTGGGAAGAGAATGAATAGATTTCAATAGAGAAAAGAATGTCAATGAGAAAAATAAATAGTTTTGGTGGGTTTAGTAATTAAATAGCATTATAAAATGTTAGTGATCTTAATAATATTATAAAATATGTCTAATAATTTATTGCCAAATTTACACATTTTACTTATGATTAAAAGTATAATTAGACTCTTTAAAGAGTTTTAATGATAATCAAAACATTATTGACAATGAATTTAGAAATAGATACAATGTAATTATTATAAGATTTGTTGAGAATATGTTCATGCTAAAAAGATTTTTAAAATTTAGAATAATAAAAAGGAGAAGAGAATATTAAAAAGGCAAAACATAGAATGACAAAAGTATCATCAGAAAATAAACCAATAATGGAATGTAAGATGTTAGCTTCTAATATTATCTTAAATATACTTGATTTAGAAAATGATATTAGAATTAATTAGATGGTAGCCTATTTTCGTAGTAAAAGAGGAAGTGATTCTACAAATGAATCATAAAATAATTCACCTCCTAAAAAAGGATTAATAAGTGGTATGGTAGATTTTGTTTAAAGATTTTCACATAAACCACCTGAAGAATAATAATAATTATTAGATAATAACAGTTCTGTTTTCAAAGATTTTGCTAAAAGTTTAAGTGGTTCTAAAGATAAAACTGAATAAGAATCTTATAATATTCCTTAATGGATTCAAGTAATTAAAGATTTATTGGATAATAGAAATTTATTCAAAAACTTTAATAATAATGTAATGTTGGTATTTGTGGAAATTTCTTTAATGTAAGAACCAAAGATGGTTGAAACAGCCTTATAATTATTTAATAGGATGCTTGGTTAAAGAAGAGAATTAATAAAGCATTTCTCATAAATTGTATTATTATCTAAAAATTGTTAAAGGAATGTTAAAGAATTGATTAGTAAATGTATTCAAATAAGACAAAGATTAGAATAATTAAGTGATAAAAATGTATATACAATTACAAAGGAGAATTAAAGTACTTCAAATATTTAAGTGGATGAGATTATTGAAGATTTAAATAAATTATGTGTTTCATTGAAATTATAAAGATTTACAAGTTAAGTTGTATAAATTTCATTGGCTTTTAATGAATGTGAAGAAAATGACAAAACAAATTAAACATTATTTAAAGCATTAGATATGCATCAAACATTAGTTACTTATATATCTGGAGCAGATGAAATAAATCCATATTTATAAGGATTATTGAATTCATGTTATAAATTCTTGACTCTTTTTATTTGGAATCATGCAACAAATAAAATTGAAATAAAATGGCCATTAAAATAAATCTATTAACATTTATAATACAATTCTTGTTGCATAGATTTTGTAAGGGAATTATATCATAATAATAAAGAATTATTGTACAATGAAAATGAAGTATCTGTGGCTATTAGATCTATAATTCAATAAATGAATAAAGAAAAGCCAGATAGTATGTATCGAGTAAAACTATTTGATTCATTAAGAGTTTTCTTGTATGATCATAATAAGACTATTAAATTTAATTAATTATAAATCCTAGCTTTACTATAACAAAAATAGAATAGGAATTTAATTTATGTTCTTAATGACTTATAAACTGAATTTTCAATGGATTCAATTAGTAAACCAGAAACTCCATTATAAAAATCAAAAGTTTGGGATACTGAAAGTTTTCATGAATTAATTGATGATTATAGTGCTAATTATGAAAAGATGGAGGAAACTAAATTAATGCATATCCAACCTCAATTATAATACATGATTATACATTTTGAAATTTTCAGTTTATTAGTTGAAGATCAGTAATAATATATATAATATTTAGTAATGTCATAAATCAAGAAAAATGTCGTGTTATGCATCCTTACCATTCCTTATTATTTTTAATGAAAAATTCCTATAAAAGTAATTGTTGGCCATTATAGCATTTCTTAAGAAGTTATATGAATCGTCTTTATTATAATAGTCAAATGGAATTAATAAGTTAATTATGTATTTAAGAAGATTTAGAAGTAAGATTTAAATTAATTAATTTTTAGATTATTAGACATCAATTAGATCAAATTCTATTATTAAAAGGATGTAATTATATAAAGCAAGTTTAAATTGTTGATGGTGTTAGATTTTAATTCATGTTTTCATATATATTTGCTTGTATGTAAGAAATATTGTATTCTATTAATCTTTTGTTTTTAAATGATAATTTCTTATCTGAATTAGAAGCATAATTAAGCAAAGACATTGATAATCTTATAATCCATTAATTATTATTCAAAATTGCAGGTCATTTAGTTTAAATATAAAAAATGTGGTTTAAATCTAGTCATATAACTCATTTATGTCAAGTACTTATAAACATTATGAAAATAGTGTTTAGAATATTTGATATAAATGTATTGTTAAGATTAGAAAAAATATTTAATGGAAATGTGAGTGAACCATTAACTCCTTTAAAATAAGATGATAATAAAGAGAAGGATAAAGAGAATCTTTAGACTGATTAAAATGAATAGAATGAATAAGATGGCATAATAAATAGATTATTAATTGTAACAGAAACAAAATTATCTTAAGATGAAAAGATATAATCAAATCTTTAATAAACATTAAAGAGAATATTCCATTTGAAATCTAAAAAAAGATTATCAATTATAGAAGAACCTGATAATAATGCAGAATTAAATATAAGATTAATGAAATTAATTAAATTATTTAGTGAGAATGAAGAATTTTAAGGATTTATTGAATAAGAATTTAATTAATTATGTAGTGAATTTACAAATATTGATGAATTTTCTTTGACAGCCTATTAAACATAATATCCAGCAATTACTTTGGAAGAATTCTTAAAGAATTTAATATAGATGAATATTACACATTAATTAAATGATGATTTAAGAAGCTATTTTTTAAAAATATTAACAAGAATGATAAGTGAAAAGAATCCAAATATTAATAGTTAAGATGAATAAGCAAAATTAGCAATAGATGAATGGGAACCTGAATTTTGGAGTGATTCTAGATAATAGATATAAGAAATATAATGTTTTTTGGCTGGATGTGGAGCAGCTTAATTAATTTATGAAATGTTTAAGGAAAATTTTGATGATAGATGGGAATTATTTAATTAATTATTAATATTTTCAAATGCATTTTTATTAGGAGGTAATACTAAATGTTAAGATTCTTTACTTTAATTATTAAAATAAGATTCATCAAATTAAATGATGAGTAATTTATAATAATCTATTCTTAAATTTAGTAAATTTGTTAATACTAATTTTAAAATATAAAAAACTAAATTTTAAAAAGATAAATAAAATCCATTTCTATCAATTGTTTATGTGGATAATTTAACATAATTTAGTGAAAAGACTGAAACTTTAAAAAGAACTTTACCATCTGCTATTGAGAGTTAAAATACAATAAAGAATAGATAATTATCTATTAAAGTTATGTGGAGAGCATTTAGAATGTTATAATTGATGTGTGAAAATAATAATGTTCAAATGAAAAATTATTTAAGAGAATAAACAGATAAAGAAGATTCAGTCCATATTAATAGTATTAATTTTATAGAGTTTGCTACTAAAGAATTAAGAATATTATTGAAGATACTTAATAAGAATGTAGTATCAATAACTTAATAAATAGTTGATTTTATAAATGAAGTTATACAATTGCCATGTTTTTTAAATTAAGTTACATTATGTAAATCAACATATATGGAAGATGTATGTTTTACATTTGAAACATTTTAAAAAGAGGAAAGTTAATTAATTTAAAGAGAACTTCATACTCCAGAAGAATAAGATGAGTTATTTGAATTATAAGCAAAGATTATCTAATCAATTATGTTGGTTTTAGAAGGAAATAATTAAAAAAATTATGAAGAATTATAATAGAAATTAGATTCTAGATTTTTGGTTAATTTCATAAAATTAATAGTATAGAAAGTAGGTATAGAGAAGATTTTTGATTTTAAAAAAGAAGCTAGATTTTCAGATGAAATATAATAAATGTTAAATGTATTCATAATTAAAGAGAAAATAGAATATGTTAGTAAGGATTAAAAGTGGGTGAAACATTTTAAGTAAGAATTTGAGAGCAATGCAACTTTAAAAGATATTTAAACTATGTGTTTGAATAATTTAAGAAAAATTGAAATTTTTTATGAGAATGAATATTAAATGGTATTTTTTCCTGCTCATCCAGTATTTTAATTTTTAAGTGATGAAACAAGAGATAAAATAATGTTTAAAATACCAAGAGATACATAAAGAAAGAAATTAATATCTTTACTTGAAGAAATGGATATGATATTTAGAGAAATCAGTTATAATTTTAGTTTATAAAATTGGATATTACCAATAACTCATAAAACAATTCAATTATTAATAAATATTTCATAATTATTATCATTAATCATTAATATTTTTATGATATTTGCATATGCAGTAATGATAAAAGATAAACAATCAACATTAGTAACAGATGATTATGAAGAAGCAACATTATTTATTTTATCCTTATTGTAATTTAGCTTTAGTTTATGTGCATGTACATTTTACATAATAAGTAGAGCATCATTGGAATTCAAGAAACTTAAATAAGAGTAATTCTCTTTAACTTAAATTCACTCTTATATAATTTAAAAGATATCCAATTTCATAATTGTTTTTAAAGGAGAAGATTTCTTATCTCATATATCATTTACTGCAATTGCATTTTTAGGTTTAATTTCAAATACTTATTACTTTTCATTACATTTGTTCTATTTATTTGGATAATTATCTTTGTTATAGAGTGTTTTTTAAGCAATATCTCATAATGCAAAATAACTATCTTTGGTAGCATTGCTTGGAGTGTTATTTTAATTTGTATTTAGTATAGTTGGATTCAATAATTATGTGGATGACATATATCCTGAATAAGTAGAGGATCCTTGTCATAGTTTGATAAGTTGTATGATAACTTTGATGACATCTGGTGTTATAGGTAGTTCAATGTCATAATGGGATCCTTTAAAATTCATTTATGATACAGTTTACTTTGTGTTCTTTGCACTATTATTTACCAATATTATTTCAGGTATTATGACAGATACTTTTGCATAATTGAGAGATTAAAGAACTTAAATAGAAGATGATAAAAAAAATAAATGTTTTATTTGTGGAATTGATAGACAAACACTTGAAAAACAACAAGAAGATTTTGAAGAACATATAAAGAGTAAGCATTTTTTGTGGAATTATGTTTTTTACATCTATTGTTTATAGAATAAAGATTCAACAGAATATACTGGTTTAGAATATTGGATAATGGATAAAGTTTAATCTGAAAGTGTGAGTTGGTTTCCTATTAGATCTGAAGATGAAGATGATCGTACTAAATAGATTGAATTATTACAATAAAAGATAGAAGATCTAGCTTAGTAATTAAAGACTTAATTATTATAATAATAGATTGAAGAATGAATAATATTAGTATACAATTTTAAGAATGAATTCAAATGTATTAAATTTGAAAAGAGTTAATAATTTATAAATTATTTTGAAAATATAAAAATATAAAATGTTTCTAAAAAATATGTTTAAGAAACAATCTCGATTTGAGAAGTATCTATTTGAAGGCACTATATATGATAATTCAGAAACAGTGGATTTAGAAGATATAAAGAAAATGTTATAAGGTAAGTATTAATGATAAAAAAGGTTATCCATCTAAAGAAGAAGAGGATTAATTAGTTTAGAGTATGACAATTGTTTAAGTATTCAAAGAATTCATAAGACTTATACCATAATAATTAGAAACTATTAAAAAATTAAAAGTATTATTAACAATCCATGTTTTAATGGGTGATATTAAACATGGAAGATTATTTGTTTAATAATTTCTTGGATGGATTGGATGGTAACATATTGAATAGAAAGATGTTTTAAATAAGTTCTCATCTGTGTAGACAATGATCATCTAAAAATTAGCATTGATTAGTGAAATTATTTAAAGAAGTAAATTGAAATCCGACGTTAATGTTTTATGTAATTTGATCTTTATTATAATATTTTAGTTAAGGATATTGATTCTAATATAATGTAATTTTATAAAATGATTAATGCTCTTAATCTCATTTTAGGATAACAAGAAGTAAACTAATTATTTTGACATAAGTTTTACGCATAGGTATTTTCTACTCACAGAAGAATAATAGTTATGGAAATCTATTTGTTATTGTGGAATGATGTTATTGCACTCTATTTAATGTTAGAAAGGTAATTCTATATAATATTCTAGTTCATAGGTTTGTACGATAATTTTTAGATTGTTATTAATAAATGGATTAATAGTAATCTATCTAAGTTTATGAATTATTCAATGAATATATTAAACTAACACCATAAGTTAAAAGATTTGCCTAATTATGTTTATTCTTTAAAAATTGTAATGTTAATGAACCTAAATGGTATCAACCAACAAAAAAAGAAATAGAAGAATTATAAATTTATTTTTAAAATGTCAAAATTTATTTAACTAGTAGATCAAAAAGATTGAAAATTGAAAAATCAACTCCTTAATTAAATAGAAGTTGTTAAGGAACTGGAAGAGATTTAAAAAAATCATAATCTCAATCTTAAATAATTTCTAAAAGTGATATTAAATAATAATAAGATAATTATTTATCAAATACTACAATGGGTTATGCAAAAAGAATATATTAAGGAAATAATGCATCTTAAGCTATATAATATACTTTTGAGAGTGATTGTTAAACTGTAGATGTTATTAAATAATGAATTATTATATATTATTCATTTTAATTTAATTATTTTATCTTATCAAATACTATTAATGAATGAATATCTCAATTAATATATTTTCATATATTATTTTATTATAAAATAATACTATCCAAAATACTTAATCAACTTAAAAAACCATTTTAAGTGTAATATTATATTAATTTTACGCATTAAAAAATGTTTAAATAAATAATATGTATGAAAAAATAACATTACGACATGAATTTCTATTTATATTCTAAATTTGATAAAATAATTTAATTATTAATGGAAACTAGTACGAATCAAAAAACCAAATACTCTAGTCACAATCTCATTGTCTTTTGTGTTTCTTTAATATTTTCACCAATAGTGTTTTTTTGGTATGTTATACTCCTTCCAATAACCTTGCCTTTGACATTAATCCTCTATCACTATTATAAAGTTCAAGTAATTTATCAATATATTCTTAGATTAAGCAACATATATATGATCTTTATTAAGATGCAAATAAAATTGTCCAAAATGGCTTAAAAGATTATATTGTTCCAGCATATTAGGCTACCAAAACAAAAGTAACTTTTATTTCATTTAAAAAGATTAATGAAATTGTGGATCTTTTCTTTTCACTTATCAAAAATAAGTACGAACCACTACTCCAACATCTTGTTGATTTCAGAACATATTTATTGAGTTTTGAACTTATCAATTCATTTGTTAATCATCTAAAAGCTGGAAAGGCAATTGTATAAACAATAAATAATAATATTAGACAAGTGATTTTAAGAACATTATATGTATTGTTTTAAATGAAGTCTAAGTTAAAGTATCAAATAATTAACTTGTGGTAATTTAATTTTCATATATTTTAATAGAAATTTGTAGTTTTAAATTACAATACTTATATTTTACCCTAATTGTAAAAGCTATTACCAATCTATAATTATTTGAGATCCAAAAGTGGTATAGATTAAATTTAGTAAGTGATAATTGAAAGAGTCTTATAAATTCCAATGTAATTTAAATCATTTATTTATTTTCTAGAAATAAAATTTAAATTATAGGATATGCAATTTTGAATGAATCAGGAAAAACAGTTTAGAATCTAAAACCAGAATAAGAAATTGATAGATACAGAATACAATTACATTAATATGCAATTACTCAATTCTGGAAGATTAAAAATTTCAAAGACTAATAAATTTTAGAACTTGAGTGTGGAGATGCTGTTGGTCTATCATATATTTCTGAAGAATACAAACCTTAAAGATGTTTAGGTGTTGATTCTTCAGAATTATAAATTTAAGAAAATTTAAATTAATACAATGATATATCAAATTTGAAATTTGAAATTAGAAATCCCGTAGAAATAGGAGCTCTCTGTTCACCTAATACATTTGATGTTATATTAGGTTTAGAATTAAAAAAAAAGGAAGCATTCAGAAACCTTGATTTCAAAAGGTAGTTTAATTATTATAATTGTTAGTTACATAAGAATTGTAAGTACATTGCTTAAAGATGATGGATATTTAATTATTGGAGATTATGATACTTAGGAAGAGATTTAGAAACTATAAGAGGAAATCTCAGTTGATGGATTAGTAATTACTGAGAAGAATGATTTTACTGTAGGTATTACTTAGGCAATGAAATTGTAAATTAGGAATATTAAATAAAAAGTCAGAGGAAATGGAGGAATAAGTATAATTATTAAATAAAAAAAATAGTTGCAAAATATTTGAGTGAAAAATTGAAGCCAAATGAAAAATTATTGTAATAACTTAAGGATAGATAATAAATTTACATGGTGTTTATTCTTAAAAAGGCAAAACTTTGAATTATAAATTAAATTCATATACAAACATAAATTAATATTAATTCTAATAAGATAATTATTCATGCATACTTATTCATTTATGAATGCTTGTGAATTATTAAAATTATTAATATCAAAAATATATAATATTAAGAAATTAAATTTAATTAAGAAATTCAATTAATATTCTTTTCTTTGATATATTATCATATAAGATGGAGCCCTTTATTTGAATATCTTCAGTAATTATTTCTAAACTTATAATTATGATTATTCTCTATTGTACAAAGAAATTTTCATTAGGTTTTATCAAATAAAGTTCAAATGATTGTCTTTGAATAATAATTATTATGAATCATATCGTAAAAGATAACTTGATTGATCTTAACTCAAAATTAACAGATGAAAATTAAAGACTTTCATTACTTGTCTACAGTCTTCAACGATAATTAGAGAAGGCAGCAGTTTAAATTAACTATGCTTAATCTTTAGAGGAAAGGTTGGAAAGTGTCTCATTTGAATTGATATAGTTAAGAAGAGATAATCAAATCTTATAAGAACAATTATATCTTGTTAGTTAATCATCAATATCAATGGATAAAGAACAGACTTTTTAACAAGAGATAGAAAATGTGAAAATATAATATGAATAGAAACTATAAGTGTTACTTAAAGAAAATAAAAGACTCAATCGTATAAATAAGGAGTTATAGAATAAATAGATTAACAATTTAGAGACTTAAGCCTAAAAATTAATGGAATTGAGTGTTGAATTGAAAAATAAGTTGGATAGTTTTGGATAACAATCCTCATCTTTGAATTCATCAATTATGGCTCCAAAAGTGTTAACTAAGTAGATTTATGACAATTTAATCTAATAATTGTCATAAAGTAGTGGAGAAGAGAAGACTTTTCGAACAACTTAGTACTAAATTTACTTAATATTAGACCTAAGAGATTGCCTGTTTTGTAAATCAAAGAAACTAAATAGCAAAATAACAATAGCTAAAAAATTTTTGCAGCTATTCCTTTTATTTCGAATAATAATAGTGTTAAATGAAAATATAAATACACATACTATCATTATATTAAATCTATGGATTGATTAATATTCATTAAATATTTTCAAACGCACTAACAATAAATTTTATTAATGTAAATGTAACAAGCTCCTCCTGTTTAGTTTGAAAAATGCCCTAAACATCCTCAAAATGATATTGTACTCTTCTGCCTATCAATTGAATGTAAAGAGGTATGTATTTAAGTTATTATAACCCTCTAGCCACTATGTAAGGATTGTTGTAAATTACATGTTCATTGGCATAATCAATAAGGGACTTAAGCAAACTTAGATACAGTAGATAATGTCAGACAATAATTATTGACAGATGTACATGAAATGAAACTTCGATTTGAAGAGTATAAATATATTATATATATATTTTAGAGAAAGAGCTATTCTTCATCATTTTAGTGATAGTGAATAATCTGAGGCTGTGAAATAAATGTAAAATAAACTGTAGAAAGTCAAATAAACCCTTTTGGCAGCAGTGCATGATTACTGTCATTAATTGGAAGAATAAGTAAAATAGCGTATCCAATTACATAGAGTATATAATTCAATTCTAAATTATAGTAATCACATCCTGGAGAAAAGAAAGAACTTCATCATAAATTAAATACTATTATCAATAATTTAGATCAATAGGAAAAGATGTTATTACAACCGAAATATATAAGAGGTTGTTTAATGGTTATGTCTGAAGAATAAAATCATGATTTTGATTAAATTACATTTGATGTAGATAATGCTCTAAAACATTATCTATCTAATGCTTTTGATGTGGTTATTTCAGAAGATAAATTGGTTAGAATAGTCTAATCATTTAATGAATATGTAGAAATACAAGAAGTAAATCTAAGGGAAGAATTAGATCATTATACAAGAAAAATTAGAGATACAAAAAAAAATCCTCATGAACCTCTAAATAAATAATTTAATACAACTTCCTAGAAATAATTATAACCAAAAGAATCTAAATTAATGCAATCCATTTATGATGACAAATTTAGACCTACATTTCAACCAGGTGCATCATAATATAGATCCAATTTCAACGAAAGTAAAGCTGATTAAATCATGTCAAAATTTTATCATTGATATAAAACACTAATTTTTATATTAACCGACATCTATTATTTAAAAATGTTTATAAATACTACACATACTCCAGACAAAAAAAATTCTTATCTTAATAAATTTAATAAGAAGAGAATTTAAACAACAGATAAAGAAAACAAGTAAATCTAATCATTACTATTTAAGAGTTTAGAATCTAAGCAATTTGAGTACAAATGATGATTGCAAATCTTATTGTGATAGTGTTGATTATTTTAGACATGAAAATCAAGAACTTAAGAAACTAGTATTTTAATTGAAATTTGAAATGTAATATGCATAATCATTATATTATAGGAAATCTTAATTAGAATCATGTTTGATTGAGTAAAAACATAACTTAAAATCTGTAGTTTAAAAATATAAATCATTTATTGATGAGATGACAACACAGAAAAATTAAGTAAGTACAGAGTGTGATAATTGGAAATAGAAATACGAATAATAATAATAAATAATTGAATAATAAAGATTATAAATTTATAATCAATCTTAAATTATACAATAGAATTTATCGACAATCCAAAATATTTAACAAGAATATCAATAAGAATTAATTTAGAACTAAATGGATGTTCAATAAATAATGTATTTAAAAGATTAAACCATTTATGAATTACAATAAATTATTTAATAACAAAATTAATAATAATAATGAAAATAGCAATATATAAGGCAAATCAATTTACTTTATTGTCATTTGAAAACTCCCCAACGTATTCTGAACCATCAGCTCCCTTAAATTTCCCTTTGCCATTCATTTTATCAAATCTCCATTCTCCTTCATAATAATCACCAATGCTCCATGAATATTTACCAAAACCATGTCTCATTCCACCCAACCAATAACCTATAAATAAAATTTCAAATAATTACCATCATAAGTATCTCCATGTCCAAAATAATAAATTCCTTTACCAGACTTTTCTCCTTCTTTCCATTCTCCTATATATTTATCTCCATTAGCCATATAAAGTGTACCATTTCCTTACCTTTTATCATTAGCCCATTCTCCTTCATATCTATCTCCATTAGAAGCAACATATACTCCATATCCATTTTTCACATTCTTACTATACATCCCTTCATATTTATCACCTGAGGCATATAGAAAGAGTCCTTATCCTTCTCTTTCATCATTCATCCAATTACCTTCATATCTGGAACCATCAGCCATTGTATATACTCCATAACCATGTTTTAACCCATCATTCCATTACCCTTCATATTTATCGTTATTAACATAGATCATTGTTCCTTAACCAGTAGCTTTATCGCTTGCAAATTAACCCTCATATCTTGCTCCAGATGCAAATTCAACAATTCCTCTACCCCATTTGAGTCCTCTTTCCCAAAGACCATCATATCTATCTCCAAGTGAGTATATGTAGATTCCTCTTCCATGTCTTTCTCCATATTGCCATTCACCATCATAAGATTCCCCTTATAAGTAATACGAATATTTGCCTTTTCCATGTTTCAAATCATTAATCCATTCCCCGTTATATATATTACCATTTGCATAATAATAGATTCCTACACCATGCTTTTTGCCATTCAATAAATGTCCTTCATATCTTTCTCCATTATTGAAAAGATAAACGCCTTCTCCATTGAAAAGATCGTTAGACCACTATCCAATGTACCTAAAAACAATCACTAATAAAATTACACATCTCCATTTGGGAATAAGTATTTTCCAACTCCTTATTTATTTTGTTTTTCATTCATCTAACCATTATAGGTTGCTTGGTCTGCATATTATGCTTAGCGTGCTTATTCTTCACCTAAGAATTTTTATTCAAATGAGGATATCACTAAAAGTTGAATTGAGATTATATACATCTCTTGCGTTCCTCTATTAACTTTTCTTATATAGAGCTAGTCATATTTTAGGATGCTGTCGTTATCATGATTAAATAAATGGATAATTAAATTGAATAAAAGAGTTTATACAAAACAAAGTTTAACCACTCCACTCGTAACATCTTCCAACAAAAGAAATTCACTAAACAGCAATTCTTTAGGTATTCAAATAAAATTCAAATTACATTCTAGAAGTTCAAGTCAAAATTATTCTCATGAAAGATTAGAAGTTCTCGAAACTAATAAAGAAGAAGAAAGAGATTAATTTGTATCTTAACCAATTAATTCTTGTTTTGAGAGAGTCCTAGATAGAAAACATAGTATATAAAGCAATTTAGGATCAATTAAAGAGCTATCTGTTTCTGATTAATTAGCTGATCCTACTCAATAATAAGATATAAACAATGAGAATGCAGAATAAAATACTCAATAAAATACTCATTCAGTTAGTGGAGCACCTTAAAATACACTTAGAAATAGAAGGAAATTAAAGAGATTACCAAGACTTAATGAAGAAAGAGAGCCACCAAAACTTTAAAATGATTTTTCACTTATCATTATGCCTAATAACAAATATAAGCAATATTGGGATGTAGTTTTGTTCCTAATTCTTATGTAAATTGAATTTATATTATATAGTTATGTATCAATATTCACTCCATTCAAAATTGGCTTCGTTTAAGATGGGGAATATTTAACTTGGGATTACTTAGACAATGCAATTGATTTCATATTTATGACAGATATTATACTTACATTCCTGAGTGCAGCATATGATGATGAAGGCAATTTAATTACTGAGAGAAAAGCAATCATCCTTAACTACCTAAAAGGATGGTTCATTATTGACTTAATGGTAATTCGTCACTTAACACACAGTCGTCAATTCCGTTTTACTTTATTTTGAATGATACTTCTCAGAGATACAATAGTATAGCACGCATTTCGAAAGTTCCAAAAATTTACAGAGTCGTTAAGATGATCAAATTAGCAAGGATGTTCAGGTTAAAAGAAATATAATATGTTAAAGTTATCAATATTAATATTGGAAATGAGAGATTTATTCTTGCATTTCTATTACTTATATTTTCATGTCATGTAGTAGGATGTATTTGGTTTTTTGTTGCAACTTTATCTGAAGAAGAAGATTGGATATATTTTGAATCTCATACTTTTGATTAATATATAATTTCTATGTATTGGGCAGTACAAACAGTATTGACTGTTGGCTATGGAGATATTAAATTCTACTCTTGGTCAACAAGAATTTTTGCTATTGTTTGGATGTTATCATCAGTTTATGTTTTTTCTTTTGCTGTAGGTTCTTTAGCATCATTCTTAGATAGATTAGATTAAAATAATTAAATCTACTTAAATCGTTTAGCTACACTCAAAAATATTAAATAAGAATTTAAAATATCTAAAAAAATGTTTCTGAAAGTCAAAAGAGAACTTAAACATGGAAAAAGAGATTTTTCATAATAATATCATATATTATTAGAAGAATTACCATTAATATTGAAAACTGAATTAAGTTACATTATGAATAAACATCTCAAAGAAGAGATTGGATACTTTCATGATAAATCTCAATAATTTATATCAGCAATAGGCCCATTACTCAAACCAATTAAATTAGAAGCAAATGAATTTGTTTATTGTACTGGAGATTTAGCAGAAGAAATCTATTTTGTTAAAAGTGGAAAATTAGCTATTGTCTTACCAGATTAATAAAATTTTAAATTCATGATGATTAAACCAGGATCATATTTTGGTGAGTTGGATATCTTATTTTATGGAGAAAAAAGAAAATATACTATAATGACTACTAAACCCAGTGAATTTTATCTACTTTCAAGAAAAGATTTTAAATCTATTTATTTGCATTAATTTAGAGATGAAGGTTAAATTCTAGTGAATGAAGCATTATAAAGAAAAGTAATGATAAAAAGTGCTTATGATGATGCTCTCTGTTTTCTAGGAGAAGATAAAAATTAGTAACATCCTCGTGTGACCTCTCATAAAGCAAGTAAATTTAAAGTTGTTGACAACGCAACTAGTCCATAGGTTGATCCAAAATTAGTAATTTAATAAAAGACTGAAGATTATAGTAATAATGATGATGGTTTAATTAATTTTGATAAAATATAATTTAAAAAAAAAATCAGTGCACTTGAAAAATAAATAAAAATAAAGGATCAAATTATAGCTAATATCTAATAAGAATTAGATGAATTGATGAATTAAATCTAGCATTAAATAAGTGATGATATCATAGGTCGATTTAAAATTACTAAAAGTATGGAGGAAATGATGTAGCTTAGAAGATAATTAAAAGCAACTAATAAGATGGAAGAAACAATCAAATCATAAAGACAGATATATCGTTCTGTACATTAGACTAAATAATTCTAAATAGATTGTCGTAAATATTCAAGTTCTGTTGAATAAGCAAAGTTACTTAATAGTCTATGGGAAGAATGATTAATTTATTATAATATATAATCTGTCTTCAATTTCATTTAAGAAATTATTGTATATTCCATAATAATAAAACAATAATTGGAAGCTTTAGAATATTTTCTTATCATATTAAAAAATAAGATAATTTAGTTATTTTGTATAAAGAGATTTAATTACTTTTTCAAACAAATCAAATTTTAAAATTAAAATATCTTTGTTTTTAACTTTATTTTATCATTATTTAAATTATAAAATTTTAAAGAATAATTCTTACGTTTAAATATAAGATAGAATCTATGATTTATTTTTACTATTAATATAAAATGAAATGTAGAAAAAAAAATTTATAAATTCAGCTTTAATATTGATTACAATAGATAATTATTCGCTATCCTTCTTTATTAAGTTTATGAAGTTATATGTTATTTTCCCTATTTTCTGTGTATTCAAAATATCATAAAAGCTAATTATAATTTATAAATTTTTTTTTTATATCTCTAGCTAAATAATTTTGAATCCATTTACAAAAAGGTATTTGTTAATTATTTTTATTTAAGTATATGACATTTTTGATTACAAAAATTCTTAATTCCTTATTTGTTATAAAAAAAATATTGTTAATTATTATATTTATAATATCCAATAATCAAATCATTTTTAATTATAATCATGAATCATCCAAAAGCTTATTTCACTACTCCTTTGTCAAGAATGGCCAAAATACCCCCTTTAGATACAAATAACTAAATAGATGAATGGGATGAATGGGATGAAGGCTGTGAAGGGGAAGATGTGCAAACTTAAAAGTCTCCTTTAACAATCATTTAATCTCGTCTTAATGCTACAATTATAGAAGAGTTTATAATTCAACCAACCAATTAACAGCCGAAAAAGTAGGATTGGAAAGATTAATTCATTTGGCTCTGATTTATTTTTTTAATGTTCCTTTTTATATTCAAAACATAAAACAATCTCTATTCTTGATATGGATCATCAATTTATATAAGACAAATTTCTTACAAATATAAAGGAAAATATTATAATTTATATTTGTGCTTGGCCTTATACAAGTATTCTAATACCATTTAGAAGGAATGTCTTCCTAATATAAATTTAAATAAAAAAAGACTAAATTTTGAATACTGTAAGAATGAGTTTGTTATTAAAATACACTGATATATTTTACTTAAATAAAATATATCAGTTCTCAAATATTGCTATCGAAGTATAGGAATTTCTTAAAGAATAAAAATTTGTTGCAAATTCAAATATTCTTATATATAAATACAATTATTTTACTAAACAATAAGGTCTTTTTTGTTTAAAAATTAAACATATTGCTAGATGATTTTGTGAAATATTACTTGATAAAATTCAGTTTAATTTATGGATATTTTTTAAAAAGATAAAACAATCATATTATATACATTTCTTAACATTATATATTATAATGGAAAATTATTTTTAAGTTAATTTTCCCAAAATTTGTATGATTTCATTCAATAATCATATTAATTTTATTCTAAATTTCTCATTCATTTTTATTTATTAGTGATTTTAATTTAATGAATTCAGATAATTCTAAATTAATAATTACTCCTTTAGGAGCAGGTAATGAAGTTGGCAGATCATGCATATTGCTCTAATTCTAAGAAAAATAAATTATGGTAGAAATTATTTAATATCTAGTTTGATTGTGGAATACATATGAATAAGGAAAACAAAGGTGTTATGGCATTGCCTTATTTTAATAAAATAGATAAAATTGAGGACATAGATTTAATTCTTATAACTCACTTTCATCTAGATCATTGTGGTGCTCTTCCATATTTTCTTAAAAATTATAAATTTAGGGGGAAAATTTATATGACTACTCCAACCAAAGAGATTTATGGTTTAGTTTTGAAAGATTCAATTAAGGTTAAAAGTGAAGATTTTAGCCAAGATTTAATAAATGAATAAAGCATAGAATAATCATTAAAAAATATTGATTGTATAGATTATGATTAAGAAATTCATTACTAAGGAATTAAATTGAAATGTTATAATGCTGGACATGTCTTAGGTGCAGCAATGTTTATGGTTGAAATTGATGGTGTTAGAGTTTTGTATACTGGAGATTATAGTACAGAAAAAGAAAGGTATTTTATAGTAAATAATGTTTAAGGCATCTAAGACCAGCTCAATTACCACTTGAAAAAATTCATGTATTGATAGTTGAATCAACTTATGGTGATACATAACATGAAACTAGAACTAAAAGAGAAGAAAACTTTTTAAAAGAAATTGTTTCAACTCTTAATGGTGGAGGAAATGTATTATTACCTGTTTTTGCTACTGGAAGATGTCATGAATTGTTAATAATTTTAGATGAATACTGGTCTAAAAATCCTTAAATACAATAATTTCCTATTTATAGTACTTGTACATTAGCCATTAAATGTACACATATTTTTTAAAAACATTATAATAAATTAGGAAATAAATTTTAAAAAGGTGAGAATCTATTCAAATTTAATTATATAAATACAAAAAAACATTTATAAGATATCCTAAATAATCCAAAACCAAAAGTAGTAATGGCAAGTCCAGGATTGCTTTAATCAGGACATTCAAAATAAATATATGAATATTGGTGTAAAGATGAAAAGAACTAAGTAATAATTACAGGACCAGCAGTATAAGGGACAATTGCTCATTAATTAATACATAATCCAGAACCTGATATAAAAATAAGACCTGCATAAATAAGCTTTTCTGCTCATGCAGATTATCTATAAACTTCATCATTTATTGATTCTTTAAGACCATAACATGTTATTTTAGTTCATGGAACTTAACATAAATGTAGAGATTTATAAAAGAAGATTGAAATAAATTTTAAAGATATTGTGGAGAAAGTATGGGCACCTGAAAATTAAAAATAAGTTGAGCTATGTTTTTAAAGAAGCTCAGTTTCTTAGGCTGGATGTAAAGCAATAGGAGAATTAGGAAATTAGATTGAAAATTTTATTATTACATTTTAAGAAAAGCATAATTAACATAAGATTGATGAAGAGACTGTAGAATCAATGACTGATTGTACTTGTTGTACTAATGATCTTTATTTTAATGGAGTGCTCTTAAATACTGAGCATGGATTTATGTTAGTTGATGAAACTGACAAGGAAACTTTATAATAATATGGTATAGAACAAAATTAAATTTATAACTAAATGTATATTCCTTTATCATGTTCTCTTGAATAAGTATTTAATTATGTTTAAGAATTAAATCCAGAGGCACAATTTCATCCAGATGATAGTTTAATTGTGGTAAAAGATTTAGAGATTAGAGTACCTGTTTCAAGTGTTTTGTTATAATTTAAATGGATATCCTCACCAAAAACTGATGATTTGGCTGATTCATTAGCATTTTTTTTAAGTAATGTAAATTAAAATAAATTGGATGATGAAGAATTGTTAAAAGGTATTCACTAAATTGATATAGTATAATAGATAAATAAAAAGGATTAATAAAAGTACTTTAAAAGACTGAATTTCAAACAGAGATAATAGATAATAAATTAAATGTGAAAAACAAGAATTCAGTTATCATATAAGTTGACTTAAATGATTTGAATCTATCAGTTATTCCAGAAGAAACCCATGAAAATAAAAATATTATCAAAAGAGCTTAAACAATTATTGAATCATATTTGAGTTCCTATATATGATTATTGGTTTTTGTAAATTGAAATTAATACGTTATATTATATTTTTGTTGTAATATGCTTTTTATGTCTATTATTTTATAAAAATAAGAATCCTAATATTGAATTATAGTTTTACTTGGCTAATTGAGTGGATAGGAAATAATTTAGAAATAATTAATTATTTATATTAAATTTATAATGATTTAATATTAATATATTCAATTATCTAGTATGTTTATAACAGTTAACGATATGATTCTATCATCATTAAATTTATCATAAACCAAAATTAAGAGTTCAGATAATAAAAAAATATAATCTTGAGTCTAACGTATTTTGGTTAAAAAATGAATAAGAATAATTTAGTAACAAATTAATAGGTTACTTAATAAAAAATCCTTAGAAAAATTGTTTTAGAAAACTATGTTTCACGTTAATGAAGATAACATATATGCCTTGATAATCTAAAAATTTAAACCTTAAAATTTTATGAGTACCAATAAATTAGAATCCAGGAAATTCTATAGAAAGAATCCAAGGCATTGATTGCTTTTATCTACCTAATTCAGAGAATTTTATAATTAGTGAAGCCCCTTTAGAAATCTTAAACTTTTTAAAAAAGAAAGTTCAATTTTTAAACTATTAAATTTGCTCTTTAAGATTACTTATTTAAATAAAAATTTTTTTCTTTATTTGTAAAATGAACTTCTCAATTTTAAATATTATCTTAAATATATCCAAATTTACTTGAATATTTCATCTTTTCTCCAATTAAAACAATTTCCATGATAAAAATAAAAATTTTTTGAAGAAAGATTATGATTAAATAAAATGTTAAATTTAAATCAATTTGTTTTTCTCATTTTTTCTCTTTATTCTTTAATTTTCTTACCAAGTACATCAGCTACATGTTCCATTTTATCTTCTTCAGATTCACACCCGTAGTATCAAGTGTAGTGGCTAATTTTCTCCAACTAGATTTTTCATAAATACATAAAGAGTGACTGAATTTCAACCAAATTTTATTTTTTAATTTGATTTTTTAATTTTATCCAGAATTTTGTTTTCACTAAGCCACTTTTTTGGCCAATTAGTATTATTGACTTTTAAGGTTATGTATTTAATAAATATCTTCAAAGGATAACAAATTAAAAAAATGTTAAAAATATCAAAATTTATAATAATTATGAGTTTTTAAAACAAATTAGTGTATATTTGAAATTAAAAATAGGTTGTTATCAAATCTTTTGAGTTTAAATATTATGAAGCTATTTTTTCTTTTAATCATAAAAAGAATATAATATTAATTTATAAAACAAAGCATTTGAAAATGTAATATAGGTTAATTTCTAAAAATTTTAATGAAAAATTATCATTCAAATAAATTAAATATGGTAATGTTTTATTTATAATTTATTCATAAGAATTTAAATTGAATATAGAAATAATTAACAAAAAGAAAATATATTTAAAGAATAATTCAATGATTTACCTAATTTTGTCTTAGTTCAAAAAGAAAAAATATATAATATATATATTTATATATATATTAATTTTCATTAATGGGAAGAAACATAAGGATTTAATATTCAAACAAAAGCAATTTAATTTTAATAATATACTTTTATTTAATAGCTGTTTAATTAAAGACTTATATAATCTAAGTATGGTAAATAATCAAGCTTATTAATTAATTTAGATGATTTATTTATTTTCTAAATTTAAACAAAGAAATACGTTAAATTTTAGGATTTTATAGAGAAAATATTTTCAAATAAATATTAAAAAAAATGAAATATCTTATTTAAACATTTCACTACTTGCTATGGTAGACTGTTTTAGCCTAGTTGATGATTGATACATACAATTAGGTAGATATAAAGGGAATAGAGTTTGATTGGAGTGCAAGAACTCTACCTATAGGAGATTAATAACTTTTAATTGCCTAAAATATAAGAGGGTATGATTAATTATTCTAAGTTGAATTAATGATAATAGACATAATGAAAAATGAAGTTTTCAGACAAATAACAATAGGAGGAGTTGATGAGAGTACTTATTGTCCAGATATACTCATCATAGATGATTCTATTTTTATTGCTTATGTTAGTGAAAAAGAAAGTTCTTTATATGTTGTGATGAAGAAATATAGTTTGTCTTTATAAGAATCTAATGTAAAATTCAATGTAGGTAATACTCTCTATGAAGTAAAAACAATATAAAAAATTTAATACATTTAATTAACTTAGTTAAATGAAAATTTATTGTCAATATAATGGTATTCATTAGGGAGAGAGTATAATACTAAATAATGGAATATGGTATTGTATAATCCAACAACAGGAGTTAAAGGTGAAAAAATAATTTTGCCAGATAGTGATTTTATATCAGTTACATAAAATAAATTAGGCGTTATAGCAATAGCTTAATCAAATAATAATAAATTAATATTATCCAGATTATATGAAGGTTAATTAATTACAAGATCAATTCCAGCAGTCTCTTATTCACAACAGAGAGTAAAAATTAATAGTCTATCAACAAATGAATTTATTGTTATTAAATGGACTACATAATATAACTTTGAAATAAGAAGATTTAATAAATATTTTGAAGCTTCTCAGAATCCATTTAGAATTTAAACTAAAGAATTTTGTAGTGTTGAAAAAATTTAATAGATTGATATAAGTTTTACAGAATCAAAATTAATATTTGTAAGTAAATGTGATGAGGAGATAAAATTATAATAAATAGATTTATTAAATATTCAAAATAATTAATACATTTCAGAATAATATAGATAGATTAAAACATAGAATAAATAAAATATATAATCTATTTAAATTAATTATATTGATCATAATAGATTATTACTTAGATGGTTTACTCAAAAACATTACTTTAATGAATTAAAAGTTCAATTAATAGATATGAATTTAAAAATTAATGAATGTATATTAAATTGTGATATATGTGATAATAGATTTAAATGTTAATAATGTTAGTAAAATTATTAATTGGATACTATTAAAAATTAATGTAAACCTATATGTCCTATTAATTGTTTATATTGTTCAGATTCTACTTATTGTGATAAATGTAAATTGGGATATTAGTATACAAAAGAAAACTTATGTGTAAATCCAAATAATGATTTTATGGAACTTAAAGTTAGTAGAGAAGTAGAAACTAAAGGAAAAGGTAAATTAATAAATAAAGATTTTTATATTATCATTATTTATAGTATTTATTAAAATGATAAATAATAATATTTAGTTATTAGAAAACTAGATAATTAAGGATAATTATTAAAGAAAGTAGAATTACAAAAAGATTAATAAACATTACTTGATTATGATATTGCTGATTCTTTAGTTGATGAAATCTTTTATATATTAATTAAATGGGTTTCATTTGATGGATCTACAACAATTATTAATTATTCATATAATTTAGAAGACTTAACAATAAAAGAAGAATATTTAATAACAGATTAATCAACAATAATTGTTGGAGATTAAATTAAGATAATAAATTATAAATAATAGAAAATTTATTTTTTTTATTTTACTAAGGAAAACGATTATTATACATTGAAATAAATCATAATGAATTAAAATGATGTTTATACTAATTCTAATTATTACCATCTAAGTTATAAAGATAATTTTGAATTAAAATCATATAGAAATTCTATTGGTAATGAATATATGACAATATTAAATGATGATTAATATTAATAATGTCAGATTATGGATACTAGTTTAAATTGTTATTAAGATACTAATCAAGATAGAACTGAATTCTTTTCATAAAAAATAATTAAAATTGATCAAATTTCATTATATCTAGATCAGGATATTTATTTGAATAGATAATTATATCTAAATAATACTGATAACTATAAAATATAGATAACATAATCATCAAGATATCAATAAAATCATACATTCATTTAAATAGGAGAAAATGATATTATTATTTTATGGTCTGGTATTTCAAATATCCAATAAAACAATCCAATATCAAATATTTATATTTAAGGTTTTTCTAAAAAAACTAATTAGATTACTAATTTAAAATCATTTACTTGTTCTCCTGCATGTTTTTAATGTTCAGAAACTGGAGTATGTTTATAATGCAAGAATTATCATTATATATTAGACAAAGGAAAATGTAAATTATAATGTATTGAAAATTGTGAATATTGTTAAGTAGAAAATGAATGTTTAAAATGTAAATTAAATTATTTCTTGGATTCTTAATCTAAATGTGTTTAAACAGAAAAAGATTACATTTTATAAAAATAAAATTATTTGTATCCTACTGTATTTTAAAATGATGATGGAACAGTATCTATTGTATCAATTAAAAATAATGGTACTAAATATGATATTGTTTATGAAGAATTTGATAGATAAGGATAATCAATTTCAGGAGAAAATAGAATTTCAAATGATAGTAATTTAACAGTATTATTCAAATAACCTAAATTAATTAAATAAGATTAATTTATTATTATTAATTATTTAGTACGAGATGATATAAATAATCTATAAATCAAAGCCATTTTTGTTACTTTAGATAACTAATATTAAATTATATAAAATAATGTATCATTCATATTAAATTAAGATATGTTATTTGAAATTTTATAGATTGATAATTAATTACATATAGTTTATACATATGACTATTATAGTTATGCAATTTACTTAAGTATTTCCCAATATTCAATAAAAAATGGGTTAATGAATAAATTAAATGAAAGAACTTTTGGAGATGTGTTTACTTTAACAAAGAAGTATTATAATCTAAAATTAGAAAATACATTTAATCAAAATAAGTTCTCAATATAATTTACTGAAGTAGATGTAATAGATTAAATAGTTTATATATATGATTATGTTGAATTAAAATTAACAAAATCTACATTTACAACTTATTAGCTCAATTATATAAATTTTTTGCAAATATTTACAGTTTAATATAACATTATCAACAATAAGAAAATAAATTTACAATTCTTTAATTAAAGAGTAAAACTATTAAACACATTATCCCTAGAATCAATATATGAGTATTCTAAAATATAAGTACTAACAACTTAATTCTTTATATATCTGTTGTATGCTGAATCATCTCAATAAAACATTATAAATATCAATGTGAAATAATATGATCTGAATGGTATACTAATAGCTGAAAATTAAATTAGTTCAAATGAATAATCTATAGATTATTTAAATGGTAATTCTTAATAAAATGAATTCCTCTATATAACTTGGAGTTCTATATAGAATAGAAAGTCATATAAGATGAGATTAAATTAAAAATTATAAGCAATACCATTTGATAATTCAATATGTGTATCTTAATGTGGAGATTGTTCCAGCAATGATAAAATTATGTGTAATTAATGTTTAGATGGCTATTATTATAATGAATAAAAATTGATTTGTTCACCTATTTGTTCAGATAATTGTTAAAATTGTACTTCTCCTTATACATGTGATTATTGCAATAATAATTTTAAATATGTAGATAATAAATGCTTAAATGTTACTGATTATCAATTAGAAATATCAATTTGTCAATAAACATGTAATGGAATAGGTTCAATATTAACTTTTAATGATAATACTATGATAACAACCTTTTATAATTATAAGAATTAATAACATAGTTTAGATTTAAATATATATTAATTAGAATCTAGTGTCATTACAACTAAATAATTAATTTCTTCAGAAACAGCAATTCCTTATCACAGAATTTATGAGTATGAATCTAAAAAGTTTGCACTTATATGGTTAAGTGGTAATTGTAAAGTATCATGTAGAATGATGATATAATTATTCTAAAGTAGTCTTGTTGTCATAACAAATCCAGTTGAATTAAGAATGATTAAAGTACTTAATATAGATGAATTTGAAATTCAGATCAAAATATTTAGTAGTAATTTTATAATTGTTTGGACTGAAATAGATGATAATTTAATTTAGTAGACATATGTTGGAATTTATAATATTAATACTGGATTTTCAATAAAATAAAATATTAATGAAAATTAAGATGATATCTCAATAAATCCTTAATTATTGATTTAGACATCATCCTATTAAATAATATATATTAAGAATAATAATATTATAAACTCATTAACTATTGATAGTACAACTGCAAAATATAAACAACTATATTAGAGTACTAATTAAATTGATTCTATTTCATCTGATAATATTGACAGCAGCGGATTAGCTATTGGTTGGATAGAAATTGAAATTAATTAATTAGGGATGTAAAATTATTATCTAAATGTTCAATGGTTTGATAGATAATTAAATCAATAAGCAGTTAAAAGAACTGCTCTAAACTCATATATTAAAATTAAGAGTCTAAGACTTGATTATATTTCTTCATCATTATAATCAACCTTCATATAAATTGAAAAGGGAGAGTAACAAAGAATACGTCAATATTTTATAAATCTTTATTTATTAAAATATGGATCAACATAAGATATGTTAACAATCCCATTAAATATTTTAAGTTAATATTAGGCTAATACAAATATATTAACTTATGTAGATCCACGAAATCTTATGTCATATGTAGTATTCTAAGGAACAATGAATAATGTTAATTAAATATTCTTTATAGAAAAGAAAGGATAATAATCATATCAAGATAATTGTGAAACAAATTGTTTCTATTGTAATAATTAAAATGTATGTGTAATTTGCAAATAAGGATATTCATTATATAATAACAAATGTTCTTTGAAATTACCAGATAATTGTTCAACTGGTAGTAATGGTAGATGTTCATAATGTGCTATTGGATATTCAATCACATCAGACTATAAATGTTAACTTAGTGATTCAAAATATAAAGAAATTAAAATGAGTAATTACCCAGCTTAAAGTAGATAGCGATTATCGACATTATCAAATGGAGATTATATTGTTGTATGGTCAACACAATTTTATCAAAATGAAGGAACTGGAATTTATATGTCATTATATAATTCATAAGGAGTTTAATTGAAAGATTAAATGAGAATTACTGAATCATCAGCAGGAATTTAATAATATCCTGATGTTTAAGTAATGAATAATGATGAAATAGTAGTTGTATGGATAGATGGTAATATTTTAGTGAATGCTGATATAAAGATGTGTAGATTTAATAGAGATTTCATAAGAATTGGAAGTGAAATTACTGTATAAACAAATATTCATCTTTAATATGTTTAATCATTTGATACACCAGTAATCATTCAATAACTTATTAATGGCTTTGCTATTGTTTGGTCAGAATAAGGAAACTAGTAATCAATATAACTTATGACTAAATTCTTTGATAATAATAGTAATGAACTTAATTAATAAATTGTTACTGAAAATGAATCAATAATAAATGAACCAGTTGTTGCATCTACTTAATCTATTATTGTGATAGCTTGGTAAACAAACAAAGGAATATTTGCTAATTCGTATAGCTTAAATCAAATTTTAATAGATAGGGTGTAATTATCAAATACCGGAGAAGCTCCAACAATTACATCTGTAGATAATTATATAATTATTGCTTGGAAAGAGTATGTAATTGATGAAAATGATTTTATGAGTTAGAAAATAAGATTTAGAAAAATATCAGGAGATTTAAATTAATATGAAATATAAAGCCATTTTGGAATATCATAAGAGAATTTAGATAATCCTGATGTGATTTAAATTGAAAATGGATTTGCTATTATTGCTGAAAGTGTATCTACATTAAATGATAAAGTAAGAGCAATCTAATTGTAATTATTTAATTTGGATGGTTCAACTAAATCATAACCTATTATTGTCTATTCTATATCTAATTTATATCCACATCACCCTTAATTAATAAACTAACCATAAGGAAATTTCATAGCATCATGGATACAAAGTACTCTAGTAACATAAATCTTAAGTGATGATGTCTATATGAAAAGATTTAAGAGTGACGGTACCTAATTGTCATTAAATACAATCATTTGCCCTGACAATTGTTTGACTTGCTCAACTAGTGATGTTTGCTAATCTTGTAAGAAAAATTACATCATATTATCTAATTAATGTTATCCAAAAATTGATAATTGTGAAACTCATGTAATTGAAAATTCAATACTCTCTTGTAGCTAATGTATTAATGGTTTTAATTTGATAAAAAATAGTTGCTATTGGGCTTATTTTTCTACTAATTATTAAACAATAGAATTTATAATTGATAAATCATATTTTGATATATTTAAAGTAATAACTTTTTCAAATGGTGACCTATTATATTTTTGGATGGGAGAGGATAATATAATGACTCAAAGATTTGATAAATAAGGTAAACGATATTCTAATCCTAAAGAATTAAAACTTTCAACAACTTGTACAAGTTGTTAATATTATTTTGATGTTTGCTTATTTAAATTAAAAGAGGAAATATTTGTATTTTCCTTCAAGATTTTCTAATATAATTACAGTTCCAGTACAACTTATATTAATATTTTCAATTTTAATGAGGAACTTCTGTCTTCTAATTCAATCTTTTCTTATTAAGGAGAAATTAACTCTATAATCAATTAAAAGTACTAGAAATAATTGACTAAAATACTTTTATTGGAAAATATGAAATTAGGATTAATTCATATGGTTATGCAATAGGAAATCCCTATATTAGAATTAGTTATTATTCAGTTATATGTTGATAGTTCATTCAAAATTAATTTCTCTAATTAATAAACCTAAGCAATTCAATTACTAACTTATTCTTAATTTAAGAACTCTTTGGATTTAGACATATAAATAATTGATAATGAAATAAAAATCTATTAGAAAAATGAACTCTCTAATACTTGTATAGAGACTAGTTTTGATTTCTTTGGAGTATAACTAAATAAACATGTGATAAAGAAACAAAATAATATGGTAGAATATAAAATGATTAAATTGAATTCAGACAGCTACTTGATTGTTTGGACAGCCATTGTATCATTTAAATATGAAATATTCTTTTAGATTTAATAATAAGATGGAATTGAATTAAGACATGTTTAGCAAATATTTAGTGGAAATGAAATCTATAAACTTGATTTATAAATAAATTAACTTTCAAATTCCATATTGATAACTTGGAGAGAAGGCTCTTAATTTTAAGATATGACTTTGAATTCTGTTTATAAAGGAGTTTTTATATCTAAAGATACTTATGTATTGACAAATATTGCATCTCCAATTAATTAAGAGAATTCTTATACTAAATCATTAGGAAAAGTTGAAGTTTTAGAATTACCAAATAGAGATATAATAATTAATATATTGTTTTACAACATTTTGTCTTAAACTTAAATAATCAAATCATACAAAATTAATGCTACGGGCAGTTAGGTAGATTTTATTTAGATGAGGTGCGGATATGCTTGCCAAGAATGTAATTATAAAGGATTCTGTTTCAAATGTACAAATCCTGATTTATTTATATTATAAGTTGATGGAAATTGTGTTAAGAAACCTCAAAATTGTGTTAATTTCAAATCTAATTGCTTGGATTGTATTGATGGTTATTACAAAACTCAATATCTTACATGTGAGAAAATTAATTAATAAATTGAAAAAAGCGTTCCTTTAGATTATCAAAGTTACTATTTATTTTACTATTAAGTTGCCACCTACTAAAATGGTAATTTTGTGGTTGTAGGTTTCAAAGAGAGTAATGTTATTGAATTAAATTATTTTCTAAGTGATGGAACTGCTTAAATACAAAAACAATAAATAATAAACCATATAAATATAAATAAGATTAATGATATTTCAATAACTATTGATGATAAAGATTAACTTACAATATTTTATTCAGTATTACCCTTAGTTTTTACAGAAAACAATATGTATTATTATCAATAATTTGATAAAAACTTTAATAATCTTACAGAACCAATATTATTTTATTCTGGTTTGCAATAATATGAAACTACAACTATTAAAGCCAAGATCTTGATTGGTGGATAATTTGCAATATTAATTAAGAGTAGATTTGATATTTATGTTTATATTATGAAATCTAATTTTGAATTTGTTGGTGATATAAAATAACCATTTAGTGAAAACTTTGATATAATATCCAATGGAGAATTAATTGCATTTGCTTATATAAAAGATACAATTACAATCATTAATTTCTTTGATTTAAAATTAAAAGTAATTTAACATCAAATTGTTAATGATGGAGGACTAATTAAATTGGCCTCTAATGCATTTAAATAATTTATTATAGTTACCAATTATTAAATCAATATAATTGATTAAGGTACAATAATATCATCTTATAATACTACCCTACAAAGTTTATACCCAATACAAATAGCCATAAGTGATATCAATGAAATTGTAATCCTTTCGTACTAAAAGAACTCTAAATCTTATCATTTACTTTATTTTTCAATGTAAGGACTACTTAAAAACTTTGTTTAAGTTAATATGAATTAGTATACTGAAATTCCTATACAAAATAGTTGGTTATTGAAGTTGTAAAATAGTAATTTTCTTGTCTTCTTTCATATAGGAAGTTTAAACTATAATTCTAAGTTAAATTTTGCAAGATTTGATTAATTGGGAATTTCAAGATCTGTAAACGAAATTATATGCCCTCAAAATTGTATATCCTGTGTATCATCTTCAGAATGTGATATTTGTAGTTTTGGTTTCGAAAAAAATGATGAAACTAAATTGTGTGAAAAATTTTGTATGTAATTTGAGTGTCGCAAATGTATGTTGACTGATTGTGATGAATGCTCTAATGGATTCTAATTGAATGAATTCGGACATTGTTAAATAATTGATTAATCAATTGAACATACTAAAGATCCATATAATCCAAGTTATTAAGAAGAAGTGATAGACCCAAATATTCCAGGAGTCCCAACAGATCCAGTGGACCCTATAGATATAAAGGATCCAGCAGATCCAACTAATCCAACAGATCCAACAGATCCAACAGATCCTATTAATCCTACCGATCCAACAGATCCTACTAATCCTACCGATCCAACAGATCCTACTAATCCTACCGATCCTACAGATCCAACAAATCCTACTGATCCAACAACTCCTAAGAATCCAATCAATATAGGAATCATTGAACATCCCATTGGAGATAAATGTAATGTAATTATGCAAAATAAATTAATAAATTTTACAGATAATAGATATGCTTTCATTCAAATTTGCAATGAGATTATGAGTGCCAAATTATTTAATAAAGATGGTGTAGAAATATAGAGTTTTGTCTTTTTGATTGAAATAGTGATATTCTTTGATACAGTCCTAGTTCAAGATTAAATGTTCTTAGCATTTGTTTTTGCAAGAAACCCAACTTCGACTCAAATTTTTTCAATTGATAATAGTTTTCAAACCCTTGTTTTTAAATTTGAGACAATTTAGGAACTCACTATTTTAGATATTTAAATTCAGCCTTTGAACCACAATATTGCTATGTTAATATCAAATAATAAAATGGTTTAAATTGATGATTTATTTTTGGTTTGCTATTCTTAAACTTTATAAATATTTGATAATTATTTAGGATTAATGACTAATAAAATAAATTTTAATTTTCCAAATGGTATTATTACAAAGGATAATTGTAATTAAAACAAAATATCTGAAATCAAGGTTGTTGAACATCGTGTTTATGCATTATCAATAAATTTATAAGGAGGGTAACTATAAATTTTTGATCATATTGTAACAACACTAGACACTTTTTAAATAGATATTCCTAATATTGAAAAAATTAAATTTGAAGTTACTCTAGGCAATATTATAATTATTTATAAGACTATTGATGCATAAAATTGGACTTTAAAAATTTATGATAAATATTTAATTAGCTTTATTGTCAAAGTTGATTTTATCCCTGGAAACTCTGATATTTAATTAGCTATTGTAGCTAACAATTTATTCATATAATGGAATCAAAATGATAACCTTATGAAGTCCTTTTATGAATTCTTAGATTTATAAGGAAATTAACTTTCAAAAGGAGAAATATTTAGTGATTTTTAGCTTAATAGTATTTAATTAAGTGTTTTAATGGATACTTATGTTGCATTTACTTGGAAAAAAATAAATGCAAATAGTCAATGGGAAATTACTTATGCTCTCATGAATCACAATGGAGACTTTGTAAATTTTTTAGAGTAAACATGTTCTAAAAATTGTAATTACTGTATAAGTTATGAATAATGTATGACATGTGAGACTAATTATGTTTTAAAATATATTGATTCTAACAACAACTATTGTTAGAAAGAATGTGATTAGAATTGCTAGACTTGTGATTAGATGGGAAATTGTTAATTTTGTAAAAATTTTTATGAAATTAAAAATGGTTAATGCGTTTTAAATGAATTATAAGCGAAAGCAATCCGTATAAATTAAGAAGCATAAAATAATTTGATCTAATAATAAGGGGCTAAATTTAGTGATGGATCAATAATAGTGGTTTGGTCAAGTAATTTTTATGATGGTGATGATTTTGAAGTATATGGTTAATTAATTAATAATTTTGGAGTTAAAATTGGAGATAATTTAAAAATAAATACTAATACGCAAGGTCCTTAACATTCTCCAAAAGTATTAGTATTATAAGATGATACTGCTTTAATCATTTATATTGATGGTGATCCTAAAATAAGTCAGGCGACAATAAAAGCTTAAAAATTTGATAAGTAAATGTAAAGAATTGGTAATGAATTTTAAGTTGGTACAATTGAATCTTATTTAAATGAACCATCCAATCCTAATTATTTTCAAGCATAAAGCTTAAAAAATGGAGGATTTTTTATTGGATATATACAAAGGTCATTCTAGACACAAGATTTGATTTTTTTAAACTTTTATGATTCATTAAGTAACCTGGTAATTCAGTAATCAATCTAAGGAGATTTATTTTTATTTGAAAAATCTATTGATTTTGTTACAACAGATGTTAATATTGCTTTATTTTATGCTTCTAATATTTACGGATGTATGGTTCATTTGTACTCATTAGACGGAAAATAAAAATTATTAACCAAGTCTTTGGAAAATTTTAATAATCACTATCGTGAAAATATAATTATAGGTCATACACATAATTTTTATGCAATAGGATATATATTGTTTGAAGAAAGTAATAGAATAGTTTAAGTATAATTATTTGATGAATAATTTAATGAATTAGGAAATCCTATAACAATTAGATAAGTAGAACATTATATACCACAAATTTAAATGAATAAAGGTGATTAAGGATTATACTTTATAATTTAATTGAATATTAATTAATAACAGTTTTAGGAACTTTATTTAATAAAGGACCAATAATATTCTTTATTAAATAAATTCTATTTAGATATTTAATAAAGATAAATGTAATCGAAACAGGAATATCTTTAAATTATTTAATCATAGGATCAGTAATATTTTATACTATGGTCAAGGAGATTCCATTTTGGAATTCAGGATATTTATGACTTTTATTTTTAGCTGTTATCATATGATTCATAAATAGTAGCACAAAGTTAAATAACTTGTCCATTGAATTGTTAGTAATGTTAAGAGCCAACTATTTGTGATCTATGTCTTGATCACTATTAGAAAAAGGAAGATATTTGTATTCCTATTTGTGAAGTAGGGTGTTCTTTATGTGCTTTTCCATATTTTTGTAATTTATGTTAGGAGGGTTATTATTTAAAATCAGAAGGTAAATGTTATGAAATTCCTATTTAATAATAACCTTTAGTTTTATATGAATATGAAAGAGGTGATAGGATTGTTTAAGTATAAGCTGTAAATGAAATTAATAGAGTGTTTTTTTCTTATAGCAGTCACTTAAATGTTAAAGTTTTTATTGGAGAATAATTAGTCAACAGTTTTTCAATAACTGAATAGCCAATAGATGATATGTATAGATAGAAATAAACATTTTATTTCGATGAAAATATCATATTAATATTCTATTTTGAAAATGATGTTTAAGTACAAAGATATGATATTAATTCAAATTTAATTAGTTAAGAAAGATTAGACCTTTTATAATTTACAGATTTTTAGATTTAATATGATGCCTTATTATTAGAACCAATATAAGGTTAATAATATATCCTTACATTTTATAAATAAAAACATAATCCAAATTAAATTTACAATTTATTTGAAACAGTTATCTATTATGTGAAATTAGATTTAAGGTTATATAAAATAGAAAATGTTTAGATTATTTTTAAATCTGTAGATAGTGTACCATTTAATATTCAAAAAGATTAAGATTCTTTTTATATTTATTTCTATGATTAGAATTATAGAATAAGAAAGGATAAAATTGAATAATTATTCTGTTATAATTAAAGAGAATATACCATTAGCTAATGCAATATACCCTCAGAAGAAAATTGGAATATAATTTAATTATTTAATGTTGGAAGGTAAAATGAACTTTTTGATATCTTTTCACATATCAGCACTTAATACAAAATTTTAGGTGTATAAGGAGAAATAATAATGTAATCTACAAATGTTTTAAATTAAGGTTTAAAGAGATAAATATTTGTTAAAGTATTTAAATATATTCATTCATTTGTAATCATCATTGAAGAACAAACTGATTTATAATATAATGAATACAAATAATTAGTTGCTTAATTTATTTATAATACTGGCAAAAAAATTGGAGATTAAATATATATTTGTTCATTACCTTAAAATTTTATAAATATTGTTCAATACTAAAATGGATTCAAAATATATATATAATAAGAAGAATGCTAAGATGATATATGCAAAAATAATTTAATATAAAGGATATTTGATAGGGAAAATGATCTACCAGATCCAACAGAATCGTAAATACTAATTAATGACCCTGTAAAGGATGGAAAAGGTATTGAAATTTAAGAAAAATGTGATTAAGAACCAATTAAATAACTTATTAAATACTCTAATAATAATTATGGAATAGTATATATTTGTTAGGATATTTTCAGAATGAGAAAATTCAATTAGGATGGAATAGAAATCAAGTTTGTTGAAATTACTCTCGAACTTATTCATCTATTTGATATTACTTTAGTGGATGATCAAATTTATGTTATTTTAGTTTATGTATCAGATAAAACAATTAGTAAGATTTATAAATTAGATGATAATACAAATTCTTTGTTATTTTAATTTGATCATGTATGTGAATTAGAGATATTAGATATTAAAATTGAAAATTTGTAGATGAAGTATCTAATATTCATAACATGTTTGAAGAATTATGTATTTGATAGTGGATCTAAAATTGGACGGTCTTAATCATTATTTGTTTATGATAGATAAAATTTGAAAATCTTTGAAAAATTAGATTTTAATAATCCTGCTATATTTACAATTGATGATTGCGATAAGTACATAATTTAAGAGATTAAAGTTTTATATGACTAAATATATTTAGTAAAAGTCAATATTGAATATTATGAAATAATTTAAATAAATGATTTTGGGGTATTATTGTATACAAATACTGATTATACATCAAATATATCGAGAATTAAGTTAGAAATAAGTAATGAATTGGTAGTATTCATGTATAAAAAATATGGCTAAATTGATTGGTTCTTAACTCTTTGTACAGAAATTAGAAATTGTTGGTATCATGGTTAAAACTATTTGAAAGGAGTGTAAGATTTTTCAATTGCAATAATTTAAAATAAATTTGTGATATCTTATAGTGAGAAATTAAATTAAAAGCTCTATTATAAAGTAGTTGATAATAATAAAAAAGTAATATTTTCAGATTCAATATCAATTGATTAATAAATAAGTAGTCCAGTATTAGTAAGCTTTAATAGTTAATATATTGGATTTACATGGTAATTTAAAAACAATTTAGGATAATGGGGATTATAATTATCAATAATTAATAATGCTGGCAATTTAGTTAAATATATAACTAATGTATGTTCAGTTAATTGTGATTAATGCAAAAGTGATACTCAATGTATTAAATGTTTAGATGGATATTAATTATTTTATGATAAAGATGGTTAAATTAGTTGTCAAAAAGAATATAGTTCTTTTTGTTAATAAATAATTAACGGTTATTGCGTCTTTTGTCCTCCATAACTTTATCCTTAAGAAAGAAATTGTGTACAAGATCACTTCTAATAATATTCACTAGTTGTTAATGAATTAATGACTTTTACATAAACTTAACCATTTTTAGCTGGATTTAGTGATGGTTCAATAATGATAATTTGGAGTAGCAATTATTAAAATGGATTTAATTGGGGTGTTTATGGTTAGATATTAGATAGTTAGAGATAAAAAATAGGAAATAATTTTTAAGTGACATAAATTGCTCAAGGAAATCAACATTCTGCTTATATTCAAATATTAAATGATGATACTGCTATTATTTTATATATTGATGGTAATCCAGAAGAAGGAGCTTTGCTTAAAATTGCCCGATTGACTAAAGATTAATAAAGAATAGGTAATGACTTAGATGTTGATATCATTAAATTGAATTGGTTTAATATTAATTATGATTCAATTGCAAAAATTATCAAATTATAGAATGGAGGATATGTGGTTGGATATATAACAACACTAGGGGAGCAGTTATAAGTATTAAAATTAAAGTTTTATAATTCTGATCATTAAGAAGTAAAGGCATAAGAAATTTAAAATTATTTTGATACTAGTATCTAGCTATCATAAACTGGATACAATGTAGCAATTATATTTCAAAATATAGTTTATATTTATACATTAGATGGAATATATCTTACATCAAAAGAATTTATATCATCTGATAGATTACCTATGAATTACTTAGGCAGTTTCTCATAATATTATGTTATTATATCCTATTCTTCTGAAATTGACATCTTATCAGTAAATGCTCAATTTTATGATTAAAACTTCTTACCTTATGGTAATTAAATATTGATAAAAGAAATTCTCGTAAATCAAGATAGTGGTTTCACTTATATTCAATTTATTTAGATTGATTAATATAATGGTGGACTTTCTTTGATCATTGAGTTTAAAAAAGATAATATGTATTCATTTTAAGAACAATATTATATTAATTCTAATATGGAAGTAAAAATAATGAACAAATATTATATCTAAAGCTTTTGGTAAATTAATATGAAAAATTATGTTAAAATTGCTTAATCAATAGATTAGTCATTTTTTGTTGTATGGGTTAGTTAAAACTTTTAAAATAAAGTTGACAATTCAAATATTCACGTTTAAAAAATGACTGCGTAAGGAGAATATCCAAATCAATTGGCAAAGTAATGTAGTTATGGTTGCATTACTTGTGACAGTCAAAATGTATGTACATAATGTCTTAGTGAGCTTATATTAGTAGATGGGTATTGTTCTATAATTTGCTAATAAAATTGTATGATATGTATACTTCCTTCAGTTTGTTCAATGTGTAAAGATGGATACTATGAAGATTAGTAAGGAATATGTAATCCTCTAAAGTCAGACTATCATTAATCTTAATCTTTAATTAGTTAAGAAATTGAGGGGGATGTCTTATAACTAATAAGGACAAGCGATGGAACTATTTGCTTTTTCTCATAATATCATTCAATGGATATTATGAAATATTGGAATATTTATATAATAAAGGATTAATAAATTATTTAGAAAGTATAAATTGATAAAACAGACTCAAATATAAATAATTAACCTATTTATATTAATAAAATTGAATAAGATTATGTAATTGTTTACTTTAATTTATAATAAATGGGGATATTGAGAATTGGTGAAAATTAATAAATCATGATTGATAAATTGATAAATCTTTCGATAATCTTTTAAGATCAATATATTTATAGTAATTAAATAACATTGGAACCATTAATAGGTAATCAATACTCCTTAACTTATTATAAAAATTCATATGATAAACTTTCGTAAACAACAATATATAATATAATTTTGGATTCTGAATTAAATTAAATTGGATAACCTTAACTTTTACATTAATTTGATGATGTTTCTTATTCATTCAATTAATTTAATGCTCAAAATGGAACTGCTATTTTAGTAGGAGATTAATTGATTTGGATAAAGTGTCCATAATCTTTATAAATTAAGGAATTTCATTGTTAAGTATTTAATTTATAAAATAGTAATTAAATCTAAATTTTTGACTCTTAAAATTATTTTTATGATCCTGTATTGAAAGGAGTAAAATCAATTTATTATAGAGTATTGAATAGTGATTCTATTCCTATTACATAAGAAGTGAAAGTAATTGAAGATAAATTGCAATAATAAGAATTTGTATAAAGTATAACATTTTAAAATACATTTGCAATAATACTAAAATAATATAATAATTATGATATCAGTTATTAATTAATTATTTAATACTTTTAAAATTCTGGTGCTAAATTAGGTTAATAAATATATGTTAATTACTATTATGAAGGTATGTTTAAAAAGATTATTCAAACTGAAAATAGTTTACTAATATATTGGTAGAAAAGGATATGTTCAGATTTATAATGCTCTAATATTATAAATAAAATATAATATAAAGAGTATGATGATTAAGGAAATGAAATTACTAAAGTTGACAATATCAATTGTAATTAAAATTGTGATGAATGTATTAACTAAAGTTATTGTACAAAATGTAGTACTAATTATTTTTTAGATACTAATTCATAGTGTAAGTTATTATGTCCTTAAAATTGCATATATTGTTCAATTGTTTAACAATGTGAAATTTGTTAATATGGATATGAATTAGTTAATAATTAATGTATAAAATTAATATGTCCAAATAATTGTGATTTATGTACAAGAATGATATAAGGGGAAATAATTTGTGATAAATGTCAAAGTAATTATTAATTAAATTAACAATAATGTTTACCATTATGTCCATCAACTTGTAGAACTTGCGACTTACCATATGTGTGTTCAAGTTGTCCTTAAGGATTTATATTAACATCTAATGCTAAATGTATATTTGAAGATCCAACTATTATTGATTAAGCCAAAAATACAATTGTTAGTACACCATTAAGATATACATTCCCAGATTAAACTTATGTTTTAGTATGGTATTAAAATGGTGAATAAGCAGGAGTATATTTCTAATTATACTCGGTTGATAATGCTAAAATAGGAACAGAAATTCTTGTTTCAGATATAACTAGAAGATTATTAGTAGTGGATACTTAAATAGAGAAATAATATTATGCTCATTTAGCTGCTGTTGATTATAACTTTTATATAGTTTGGGCTGATTCTACTACTAACGAAACTAATTTCTTATTATAAGAATTTAATTCTGATGGATCTGAAATGTCATCTCCTTAATCTATAGGTATTTCTAATAGTAATGTTTTATCATTAATTTCAAAACCCTGTGAATTATTAGCTCTATCCAATTAAAATATTTTTGTATCTTTTATGACTTAAAACTCTGAAAATTAAGAAAATTACAACTTTAAATATTAAATATTTGATCCCAATCTTTAGAGTATTAATTCAGTTTAAGAAATACCTAATGTAAGTTATATGATAACTCCATCAATCATGTAAGATGATTCAGGAATGATATATATTAGTTACACAAGTGATGGATATGTATTTGTATAATAAATTACATAATTTGGAAATCCAATTAATTAGCCTTAAGCTATTAGTGATAATGGAACATTTACAATAAAAACAGCTTACCTCAAAAATGGAATGTTTGTATTTTTATGGGAAAATAAGAATATATAAACTTTTAAAGCTATGTTTAGTCTTAATTATTAATTAATTTCTAAAGATTTATCATCAAGAAGTGAAGTTAAGGGTATTGGAATTGCATAAGTTTAAGAATAAACACCAGATTTAAAATTATTTAATGATGGATTTATTGTTGTTTGGAAAACCACGAATTCATTATATTAATCAATTGGAATATAATTCTAAATATTTGATTCTTTAGGTGTCTAATAAAGTGAGATTATCGATGTATCGATTTCAGGAAAGTATCCATATAATCCAAATATTCAAATAATTAATGATGATTAATTTGCTATTACATATATATCCAAAGGTGTAGATGTTGATGGATCTAATTTGGGAGATGGCATTCAAATTAAATACTATAATAAATAAGGAGAGGAATACTTTATTATATCTCCTTAATTATGTGGTAAGGAATGTAATATATGTTAATCTCCATTGAATTGTTATAGATGTTCATATGGTTATTATCTATCTTAGGACAATTAATGTATTATTGATTGTGGACTCTATTGTAATTAATGTGAAGTACCTTTGGTCTGTTAATCTTGTGTGAATGGATATTCATTAAATTAGAATAATTCTTGTACTTAAGTGGAATGTTCTGAAGGATATCAAAGAAATCCAAAGACTAAATTATGTGATCCTGAATGTCCAAATGAATGTATATGCACACTTCCAAAAACTTGTAATTCTTGTATAGCTGGATATTATTTGAAGAATAGTTAATGCTATTTGAAATCAAACAATCTAGGTGAGAATCCCATATCCAATCCTTCTATATTCTATGCATTGATAGTAGTATCTATTCTCTTACTTATATCTTGGATCTGTTGTTATAAATGCATTATTTAACATAGATAAAAAGATAAAGTTCATTTTGTTTCAAGTGAAAGTAATTTAGCATAAGAAAATAATGAGAGACAAATATCATCAGCTGCAGAACGTGAATAGAGACTTGAAGATGATTAAATAAAATAAAATACGATGGGGGATAATCTTATGATAAAATAATAGAGTTCAAATAATAATGTTTTTTAGATCCCAATAAAGAATGAAAGAGATGATGATCGATAAATAAAATTTAAGTAAATTTAAAGTGAAGAGGTTATTATTAAGAAGTCGTATCAATCAATCTTCAATAAAGAGGATGAATGAAATGATAAATATAAAAAATAAATATACAAAACATAATTAACAATCAAAATTATAAAATAAATATTTTTAACACTTTTTTTTGTTAGTTTCCTTCCAAAAGCTTTGCTAAATAATTATTCTTATTTTGGTAATTATTGTTCGTTGAAACTGAAAATATTAAATAATATCTCTTCTTAGTTTCCATTCTTTTGAAATTATTATCTCCTTTTAGCTTATTTTTTACTATTTAGGTATTTCTTCTAGAATAAAATGACCAGATAATTCAAATGCTATTTTAGCATCATTAAATTATAGTGCTTAATCTATCAAATATATCAAATAAGAAGAGTATTTATTTAAAGCCTAACAATTTATTCTAAAAAATTAAAATCCTGAAGAATGAACTTTATATATATATTTACTTATTATGATTTTTAAGTCTATTAAAATCAAAATAATTGTATATTTTATAAATTAATTATAGAAATAAATAAAAATTATTGAATTTGATTATATTGATTTATAAGATGTATTTATTTGTAATATTTAGCTATTTGCTTTATATTCAAGTAGAATCAATAAGTTTTTGATATTTTAAAGAAACAACTTAAAATGATTGAAAGGTATAATTCTCAAGAGAGTTCTTACTATGTTTTAAGGTATCCAAAATTAGAAAATAAATACGATCTAATTTATTGATAATCCCAAAATAAATACTGGATGTTAGGCAGCACATCAGAATTAATTTATTAAAAACGATTACTTTTAACTTAGTGCAGAATATTAAGCATTGATTCCAATCTGCCTAGGAAGATTATTAAACCTCTATAGAGGAATAGGAATAAGTGGTGCGATAGCTAATTATAATAATATACTCTAAAATAAAACTGTAATTATCAATAATTGATCATAACAAATAAAGTTATTAGTATATAGAAGCACCTGAATAATTGAAGCAAAAACTGAAATTGATATAATAACGAAAAGAGCTATATAAGCATAGTCAATTGGAAATATGTAATTTTGGTAAAATTGTAAGATTATTATGAAACTTGGAAAAATTTAATTAACATTAAGGAACTATTCAAACTATTTGGTCATTGCTGAATGGGTTCTTCAAAATTGTTTCTATAATTAATTTGAATTATGAAGCTGATATGCTTATATCTGCCTTTAAAAGCAATTGGTAGTGTATTTTTAGAAAAATTTAGAATAAATAACTTTGAATTTTTAAATAATTATGTCAATTTTTATTGTCACTAGAATTTCAGTTTATAATTGAAGTAGTGAATAAAAATATTCATTCTTAACAAAGGGATATCATATATAAACTAATAAAATTTCTTGCAGAGGTTGTAGTCAGGAAGAATTATTTTTGGAATGTTCCTTAGGTTTTATTTTTAAGAATAGGAAATGTTAAGTTTTAAGCTATTTTAATAAAAATTTACACTGTTAAAATTATATAATTTGTAGACATTATAAATATATATCAAATGTGATGAAAAAATATCGTACTTTTTTTAGTACCTAATTTTGTTTAATAATCTCTCTTCATTTAATCACTTAAATGATATACTAATGCCAATCTTTTGTAATAAGTAATACTTAATCAATCAAGAATGCAGTTAATGCGATTCTATTTATTAGTCTAGCTCATCATTATGTGATTAATATTCCTTTTGTTTTGAGGGATACTTTTAAAAATTTTATATGAAATTTTTGTTTAGTATGCAAGCTTTGTCAAGCTAATTCTATATTTTTTCTAAAATATTCAGAGTATAATTTGAGTTTTCAAAAATAAATAAAAGGACATTATTTATTTTTGTTATATAATGTGAATAGTGGTGTAAATAAAGTGAAAAATGTTATGCTTAGTTTTATTAATATATATTTGGATGTTTTCTAATATATTGTTTCAGCCACATGATATCTTGAGTTTTTTTCTTAATTGATATTTATACTATTTTTACTTTGGATGAGATAAAAATGAGTTGACTACTTTCTTTATTAAGAGATCAGAAACCTAAAATATTTAATTTAATTTAATCTATTTTGATGCTAAAGGTGGAATTAATAAATAATTAATTTCTATGAGAAAAATAGTTAATCATTTAGTTGAATAATTTAAATCTTTAAACTGATTGCTTCATTTTAGGAACATGACACAATCTCTGTTGAGAGTGAATTTAATTTTTTTCTTTATAATAAGAATAAACAGAAAAAAATTAAATCCCAAAGTTAAGTATGAGTTTTTATTAATATTCTCATTGAGTACTTGATTGAAGACTTTAATTTTATGCAACAACATTCATAAGGTTTAGTACCTAAATATTCCCCTTAAATCTCATAAATTAAAATTAAAATATAATTAACTTTGTAAACCTTTACACATTAAAAATTTATATTATTAGAAGATAGGCAAAAATGAAAATTACGGAATATTACTTCGAAAAGAAAGACAGAAATTCTTGAAACATGTCCAGAAGAAATAAAAGATAAACATAAAAATCCAATAATTTTTTGAATTTATCTTTGATATAAATATCATACAAAATTTGCGCTTTAAAGGTAATTCTTAAACTCTTTATGTATATTTAGTTAGATCAGGGTTAAATTGATGTTAATTACAATTATAACAAGATAAAAAATCAGCACTTAATAAATGATGGATGTATGGGAAATATTATATAGGAAAAACTTACACAAAAGAAGCAATTCTAATCGAAAACAAAAATTGTTCTAAATATAGAAACAATATTAAGACCGATCATAGTCTCCTGAATTAAGTTTAATTATAAATTAAAAATGTATTTTTAAATAAAATAAAATTTTTCATGAATTCTCTCTTCTGTTAATCATAAACGTATTCATGTTTTTAAATTGAAATTCCTTAACTCAAGAATTAGAAATATTTAATAATGAAAAATTAATATTTTTTCCAAAATTGATAAATTATCATTTTTTAATTACGAACATACATATTGGATATTTTATCCAATTAAAATATTTTAACACTCTCAATTATGTGTATGTTTAAGAATACCTATCATTTTTCTTTTTTACTTTTTTTAAATTTACTCAATATATTTGCTTTAAAATAATTAAAAAAGATTTTGAGAATTGTTTTAATAAATTTAAATAGCTTTCAATTTTTCTGGCTGAGGATTTAATCAAAAGAATAGAAATTAAAAGGGTTAGTTTGGTCTTAATATTAATTTTTCTTTAAAGTTATCTCTAAGTTAATGTGATTATATAGTCTTACTCTATAAAAGCTGTGTAAATTATGTCAGTGATTTATAAATATTCATTATTTATTTATTTTCAAAAGATTTATTAAAAATTGTTTTTGGATGGATAATAAAGTTGATAATCATCAGTAATTAGGAAAATTAGATTTTTATTTCTTTTAAGGGGACTCATAAGTATTTCTTTAATCTTAATACTTTTAGTGATAGAATTTTTATTGATGATTAATTTATCTTGAAGTGTTTTATATTCTGAAATAATTTTCTATCTATTAATAAATAATAAAAGGTTATTGAAAATTTGGCTTTAATAAAAGATTTTATATAATTAATAAATCTAATATTTTTAACTTTTATATGGTGTAAATTAATTGCTTTAATAATCTAAGATAATCTTTATTTTTTTTTTTTCTATTCTTGACCTATTTTTCAGTATTTTTGTTCTTGAGTAAAATAATAAGTAATTATTAACTATCTTTTCAATCTAACACTATGTACTTTAGCATAACTTTATGTAAACACCAAAGGTTTTAATGTTAAGCTTATAATTAAAAAAAATTTTGAAAATATTGATAAATTATAGAATAAAATGTTGCTGAGGATGAAATTAATTTTTTGTTTTATATTGAATGAATGATATCAAATCATTTAACATGCTTAGGAACAATCTGTATCCACTTTTGGAGAATTGTTCTAAGGTAAATATTTATTTGATTTAATTGCAATTCAAATATCTTCCTTAACTTTTTCTGTTATTCCTTTAATATTTTTTCTTAGTTTTCTTCTAAATAGCTTAAAATGATTAATTTATCTTCTGTTCCACAAATCCAGTAAATATTCTTAAATAATTCCGAAGAGCTGCCTTCTTTTGCTAATAAATCATTAACTCTATCTGTAAAAATGTTTTATTTTCTTTTTTTCATATTAACCTATTGTTATTTTCATAAAGATATTGCTGCATTTGCACTTCAATTTCTAATTTTTCTGGATTTCCTGCAAAAATTATTAGTATTTCAATTAGAATTCTTACTCTTTTATTCAATTTATTCAAATTTTTTTCATCAATTGCATAATCAATAGCAGCATTTATAAATTAGAGTCCACTCATATGCGAAATGGGAAAAAACATTTTAACTGTATCCAAAATTTAAATTTTATAATACATAGGAAATGCTATTATTCAATCGTTTATGGTATTGTAATTAAATGGTAAGCAATAAATGATGAAAGAATTTAAGTTATAAATGAGTTTAACATGATTTCATTCGAAAATAAAACATATTCTCACATTAACCCTAATGTAGAGGAAGCGCTAATCTCTTTGATTAATTTTTCCTACAAAGGTTCTATTTAATTCAAAATCCTAGTAATTATTTAGAGATATTAATTTAGATTGCTTAATTAATAAAATCTAATGTATCTGTTGTAATAACTAATCCAAACAATAAATTATAAAATCTTTTAGTGATGGGATATTAAGTAATTTTAGGAGTCAAAGAAGCTATTCTCAATTTAGTACGATCAATAAAATTGCTGTTTACATAAGTCCTCATTATAATTTTAAAGATTCTTCTTTATTGATTACACCTTTCATTGGGATTTCTTATGATTTAACAGATAACTTCAGACTTAATAAAACATATTACACAAACCAATAAGCAATATGGTATCAGATACATACATTATTAAGTACAACTAATTAATATGATTTTAGATGAGCAGTATTGTACCGCACAAAACCATAAGCCAGCATGGCTCAAGTATAAATTTATAGTTAAATTGTCAATATGTCCTGCTACCCAAATATTCAATACTTAGGATACATTTTCAATAATTCTTGATTAAAGTCATGAATTAATTAGCAGAAAGATTTATGCAAAAAGCTTTACAAATAAATCTATTTAAAGTTATTTAAATAAATGTAATGAACGTTTACAAAGTTAATAACACTAGTTTAAGCATAATTGCTACGGGGCTATCAATACAATTAATTTTTCAATTAAACTATTCCCAACAACTTAGGCACATTAAGAATTGATAAAGTGTATTAAGTATTATACAATTATGAGAAATGAAGTCAAAGTCATAGATATCAAACAAATTGACACTTAATTATGATAATATAAACACTCATAGAAAATATTCAATTTAGCATTTAATATCATTAGAAATAACCAAAAATTCAAGAGCAATATAAATTACTCCTTTGATTTAATCAGCAAATCTTAACCTATGAATGATGATTTTTGCATTGGAGGATACTACAAAAAATAAGAATGATAGAAGTAGTATAATCAAAGGGTTTGTTATAAACATAAAATTATAGATTTGTTTAAAAATCTAATAGGACATTTAAAATCTGGTTTATGATATTTATGGTTTAGGATTGTCAATGACCAGATCTTTAGACAATAAGATTAATTCTTGGAAAGGAGAAATTGAGAGGTCAGAAATTAGCCAATTAATTGTAGAGGTGTAAAAAATTTTCATGTTCAGGGGAGATTGGGAATATTGTAGTATATTAAAATGACAAATTGAGAATAAAGAAAAACTCAAATTTCAAAATCAAAGAATAAAAATATATAAAGAGAACAAGTCAAATTGATTCTAGCTAATTTATAGGTTCACGAGTTATTGTTCTTATTATTTCTTTTTGAATATTAAATCAAAATTCGTATATTATGATTTTCATTAGATACTATATATTAATAGGCTGCCGTAGAAAAATTTAAGACCGAGCTAATCTAAATTTTTTTCTGAGTAATTCATAGTATTAACTTTTAATATTATGGTTCTCATTTTCAAAACATTTGAATATCGGAAAAACAATATTGCGATATTGTGTTTTTCTATAATCTTGGGCAGTAACATAGATAGATGTAGATGTATATAGAGCTAAAACACTAATATAAATGATTAAGTGGTTGAAAAAGAAGAAAAATGTCTTTTGATTTCTTAAGAAAATTGTTAAAATTATTTTATTTTAAGATTGGATTAAGATAGATGATATATAAACACTTTTGTATATAAATTCGATAGCATGCAAATTACAGGATACTTATAAGACTTATTATTTATTATTTGATTAAATTAGTTAGATCTTATTTATTGAGCATAATTTTTTCTTCATATTACAAGAGTAAAGATATTCAAAAGTATTACTAAAGACATATGAGTCATTTAATTTTACAGTTTAATATTAAAAAGATAAGTCTCTTTTACTGTGAATTATTTAATACAATTTTTTCCTTTAATAATTAGCAAATAATTTCCACAGTCTAATAAAGATCCTACACATCAAATTATTTAAAATGTATTGCAAATTGTGTTTATAGAAAAAAAAACGAAATAATGCAGGTTAGTTCATTTTTAACTTTATTATGGCAATAATAGATAGTCCAAATATCTCTTATTATATTATCTAAATTTGTTCGAGATAGAAATGTCTAAGAGCAAATGCATTGTAAATAGTATCTATCGATTTCATTATTTAATTTGCCGCTTTTAGGGAATCAAAAGATGGATCTAAAATAAAATAAAATTATATAATTGTGTCATCAAATCACTATATTTTGTTCTTAAATCAAGGGACAAGACTTGAGTATAATATCTTAAATATTGACTAAAAATAATTTAATTCAAATCAAACTACATTAAATTAATACCATTTAACTTTGTTATATTATTTCAATTGAAATCCATTCTTTAAAAAATAACCCATATGTATAATTAACATTTAAATAAAACTAAGAAATTTTCTTTTTTATAACTCCCCAAGTTTTTATTCTCTGATTCTCACAAAATTTACAATATTAAAATTTAATTATGCTTTTGATTAGATTAATTCTTATCATCGAAGTTTTTGGATGGAGATAATACAACTCATAGTCATTTGATTCTCTAGGTTTCGCAATTGATAATCAAAATTGTCCTAAATTACATATATTTATGGCAGGATTGCATCCATATAAATGTGTCTGTACATATTAGCTTTATTAATAGCTTATGCTTTGATTTGTAAAGGTGTTACAGAAGTATAAGTAAAAACTGGATAAGATGGAACTTAACATTAATGTCATCCCAAATTTTAACCTTGGGGAGCAGGGACTCCAACCCTAGACGGATATATGGTTCATTGTGGATTTAATGTTGGCGTTTCGTTAGTAATCGAGTAGCTACCTGATGATAGTTATAAATATTATTGCAAATGTATGTTTAAATGCCTATTATTTTAGATTTTGCAAATAATTCACATAATAAATGTTTGATTACAGCCTATCAGAAAGGTTTATTTCGATGCTAGATGTGTAAACTTCCATTTTTTGGAAATGGTTTTGGTTGTGATTAAGTTTTATGGCGCTACGATAGAAGATTTATAGTTGTTTGTAAAAAAATTACAATAAACTTCATAAAATTAAAATGAGCCTTGATTTTTAATCCATAGAATGGCCCAAAAAAATAGCTAAATAAATCTTATTATTTGAAAATATCTTCAATGAAATGTTTTACAAAAGATTTTTTTCATATTGATATATTTAATTAATCAATCAAATATTTAAAAAAAATGATAAATGTATCTACCATTTTATATTTTTCATTTTCAATAATATTTAAATTTGTCATATCAAAAAAATTTATATAAATTTTATTAACTTAATATAATATTTTACTTATCATATTATTATAATTTTTTTCTTAAATTGGCACTATGTATCCCTATTCAAGAGGTATTATAATATAATTATTTAAGTTTGTAATGGATTTTGTGATATTTGTGATGAAAATGGAGAGTGTTTGTATTGTATGAGAGGGTTTAGATATAAAGATAATATAGATAATAAATAATGCATATATTGTATTTTATATATTTATATGGATAGCTTGTTATGGCCATTATTATTGTTATTTCGATTACCGATAAAGCAGATATATTGAATATCCAGGATGTTTGGAGGGATATATGTAAAAAGGATCTTTATGTTTCGGTAATTGTATTAGGAGATTTTTTTTAGGTATTTAACCTTGTAAATAAGCTATCCCATCATCTAAAAATCTCTACAATTGTTATAGTTGCGATACAGGATACTAAAAATAGCTTTACTCTGGAAGTGACTATCGTTGTTTTAGTAAGGATTGGAACTGTGACCCCTCAAGATAATCAATGATATTTGATTATTAAACAGACAACAAAATGTTTTATTATACAACATGTACTTTATGCGATCCAAATTTCTTCTACTCAAAGAAACACAAATAATGTATAACTTGCTACAGTAGGTTGAATTAAATAGCTGATAATGGTATCTGCAAATGCAAACCATTCTATGGTTTGTTAGAAGAAATTTGCACACTATGTGCAGATGGTTATTGTCATAATTGTGAAAGTGATGATTTTTATTAATGTACTTCATGTAAACCAGGATCAAATAGAATATTAATAAATAAGGATTGCATTTGTTAACCAGGTACATACGACCCTGAAAATGATGATTAAATTTGCCTTGGTAAATTTTTTATTGATTTTTAGTTTGTGATAAATCTTGTCAAAATTGCTTAGGTCCATTATTTTAAGAATGTATTGATTGTGTAGAAGAAAGTATTTCAAACAGAATTTAAATTGGAAATGTTTGTCAATGTAAAACAGGATATTCTGAATATGAAGTTAGGGAATAAACCTGTGGAAGTATTACTTTTAATTAATTTTAGAATGTCATGCAAAATGTTTAACGTGTTTCTAACCCGCTGACGNATATTATTATAATTTTTTTCTTAAATTGGCACTATGTATCCCTATTCAAGAGGTATTATAATATAATTATTTAAGTTTGTAATGGATTTTGTGATATTTGTGATGAAAATGGAGAGTGTTTGTATTGTATGAGAGGGTTTAGATATAAAGATAATATAGATAATAAATAATGCATATATTGTATTTTATATATTTATATGGATAGCTTGTTATGGCCATTATTATTGTTATTTCGATTACCGATAAAGCAGATATATTGAATATCCAGGATGTTTGGAGGGATATATGTAAAAAGGATCTTTATGTTTCGGTAATTGTATTAGGAGATTTTTTTTAGGTATTTAACCTTGTAAATAAGCTATCCCATCATCTAAAAATCTCTACAATTGTTATAGTTGCGATACAGGATACTAAAAATAGCTTTACTCTGGAAGTGACTATCGTTGTTTTAGTAAGGATTGGAACTGTGACCCCTCAAGATAATCAATGATATTTGATTATTAAACAGACAACAAAATGTTTTATTATACAACATGTACTTTATGCGATCCAAATTTCTTCTACTCAAAGAAACACAAATAATGTATAACTTGCTACAGTAGGTTGAATTAAATAGCTGATAATGGTATCTGCAAATGCAAACCATTCTATGGTTTGTTAGAAGAAATTTGCACACTATGTGCAGATGGTTATTGTCATAATTGTGAAAGTGATGATTTTTATTAATGTACTTCATGTAAACCAGGATCAAATAGAATATTAATAAATAAGGATTGCATTTGTTAACCAGGTACATACGACCCTGAAAATGATGATTAAATTTGCCTTGGTAAATTTTTTATTGATTTTTAGTTTGTGATAAATCTTGTCAAAATTGCTTAGGTCCATTATTTTAAGAATGTATTGATTGTGTAGAAGAAAGTATTTCAAACAGAATTTAAATTGGAAATGTTTGTCAATGTAAAACAGGATATTCTGAATATGAAGTTAGGGAATAAACCTGTGGAAGTATTACTTTTAATTAATTTTAGAATGTCATGCAAAATGTTTAACGTGTTTCTAACCCGCTGACTCATCTGAAAACCAATATTGCCTTACTTGTATTCCTGGATAAAATCGTGTTGTTTCAGACACTTTTAAATGTGATTGCGAAGTTAATTATAGTGATTTTGGGGGCATTTTAGAAGTTTGTGCTGGTACATTAATAAATTATACATAGTTTGTCATTATACATGTGGTAATTGTATTGGTATCTAAGCCATAAATTGTTCATAATGCTCAGAAACTTCAAACAGAGAAATAACATCTTTGGGAGAATGTTTATGTAAATAACCGTATTTTGATGATAATACTCAGAATATAAAATGTTAAAGTATTTAATTAAATGTGATTAATAGAGTGTCATCATTCTTGTTTAATATGTGCAAACAGTACTGAAAAGGATGCATGTTTAGAATGTCCTTCTAGTAGAACAGCTTAATCATCAGGTAGTTTCTTCGAATGCTTTTGTACTGATTCAAATACATTTGATGATGGATTTTCACTATAATGTCAATAATGTGATTAATCCTGTAAAACATGTTTTGGTCCACTTTCATCTAATTGTTTAACATGTGATACAAATTATAGATAAATGGAATTATCATTTTGTGTTTGTCCAATAAATTATTATGATATTGGATAATTAGAGTGTGCAGGTAATTATTACTTATTATTAAAAGAATGCCATTATTCTTGTCACAGATGTTTTGATAATAATGCAGAAAGTTGTATAATGTGTTCTTTTGACCTTAATCTTAGAATTTTGAAAGGCAATGTTTGTAAATGTGTTGATGGATATTATGAGGAAGTTGGAATCGCTAAATGTTAAAGTAATTATAAAATTATTAATATCTATTAGAATGTGCATATAAATGTGAGACATGTGATATTCAACCGGATAAATGCCTGAGTTGTCCATTAAATTCAATGCGTAAGCTTGATCCAATTAAAGGATGTTATTGTTCAGAGGAATACTTTGATAAAGAAAACGAAATAACTTGTCTAAGTAATATAAATATAAATTAAAGAATGCCATTTCAAATGTCAAACCTGTAAAGGAATTGAGCAGAATGAATGTCTCTCCTGCAATTCTATTTAGCATAGAGAACTTAAAAATAATTTATGTTAATGCTAACCAAATTACTTTGAAATGGAAGTTTAAGAATGTTCAAGTAACCATTAGATCTAAAATAGCTTGTAGCCCATTTTGTTATGAATGCATTAACAATTCTAAAAATTGTACTTCATGCAACAAAGATAGATATTTAGATGGAAATACATGCAAATGTAAAACTAAATTTCATGGAGTAGCAATTAGTACATTTGATTTTAATGGAATGCTTACATGCTAGAGTATTTTATTAAATAAAAATTAGAATGCCATTATTCATGTAGTACATGCATAGGAATGGATGAAGAAAATTGTGTTTCTTGTATGGATACTGAAAACAGATTCTAAGTAGGAAATACTTGTGTTTGTAAAGAAGGATACTTTGATACAGGATTGCCCACTTGTGCAAGTATAACTGATTTTTATAAATAGAATGCAGTTATAAATGTAAAGGATGTTAAAAGTATTTTGACAGATGTATTTCTTGTCAAGATAACAGTTTGAGATTATTAGTTTCAGGTTTCAATAAATGTCAATGTATTCAAGGTTATTATGATAATGGATAGAATAATGTTTGTTAAAGTATATATGATTTCTAATTATTTTAAGAATGCCATTTTTCATGTCTCAAATGTAATGATATTGAAACAAAATGTGAGTTATGCTCAAATGAATCGAATAGAATATATAATGATTAACTTTTTTCATGCGATTGTAATATTGGCTATTATGATATTGGAGTTGAAAATTGTTAAAAATGCCACTATTCATGTTTAAGTTGTAATTAAGGAGATGCAAATTCTTGTATTTCATGTATAGATGTGAATACTACTAAAAGAGTATTTTATAATAATACATGTAAATGTTTATTTGGATATTTTGATGACGGTTCATCAATATCATGCTAAAAATGTGATATTAAATGTTTAAATTGTGTTGGACAATCTTATTAATGCTTATCATGTCCTTAGACAAGAAAAATAGAAACAAATTGTAAATGCCATTAGGGATATTACGATATTGGATTATAACTTTGTTCAAAATGTAATCCAAAATGTCTGACATGTGAAACCACATCTAATAATTGCACATCTTGTGATCCTAATTAATTTAGAGAAATTAACAAAATAAATAGAAACTGTGATTGCTAAATAGGTTATATTGAAATAGATGGAATCTGTTAATAATGTAATTCAAGTTGTAAGACATGCTCTTAATCTCTAAATTAATGTACGTCTTGTATTTAATTTAAAAACTTAAAAAATGACGATTGTATTTGTAGTGATGGAATGTATGAATCAAGTATTGATGAATCATGTAAGTTATGTGATAAAACTTGTTTAACTTGTGCCAATACAAATAATTATTGTTTAACATGCTCAATTGATAATTATAGACAATTAAAAAATGGAAATACTTGTGAATGCATACAAGGATATTATCAAAATCCAATTAATTAAAATTGTGAACAATGTATGAGTTCTTGCTTGACTTGTTCCTTAGTATATGATAATTGCTTAACTTGTGATAATAATCTTAATTTATCTTTGGTCAATAATAAATGTTTGTGTTCATAATCTTATTTTTTTGATTCTATAAATCATTAATGTGAATGTAATAATCTTTATTTATATAGAATGCAATATCACTTGTTTAGAATGTTAAAATTATAATGAATGTACTTAATGCAGATTGTCAACAAGACATTTAGTAGTAGATTTAAATAAGTGTTTATGTAATGATGGATATTTTGAAACAAACTAATAATATTGCTAATGTAATTTACAGTTAAATAATATTTAGAATGTCATTTTTCATGTAACACTTGTGAAAATATCTCAACTAATTGTTTAACTTGTATGAGTTGTCATTAGAGAATATTAATAAATAATGAGTGTTTGTGTCTGGATGGCTATTATGAAGCTGGAATCGAATTGTGCTATAAATGTAATGATCTTTGTAAAACATGTCAATCTTTTGCTTCATTTTGCTTATCTTGTTACGATATTGAACATAACAGATATCATTCAGGAGACAAATGTATATGTAAACCTGGTTATTATGAATAAAACACATTGATATGTTCAAGTAATGAAAATTAAATGATAAATAGAATGCTCAAATGAATGTTTAACCTGTTAAGGTTCAGCTGGTTATTGTACAAGCTGTGATACTAATTCTAAGAGAGTTGATCAATCTATTATACATAAATGTCCTTGCATCATAGGATTTTATCAAGATCAAAATTTTATTTGTTAAAGTAAATTTCACAATTATTATTAGGATGTGATATTAAATGTTAAACTTGCATAAATTAGGGTAATTAATGTTTAAGTTGCAATATATAATTAAATTCAAATCGTAAATCTTTATCTGATTAATGTAATTGTAAAGATGGTTATTTTGATGATGGAACATAAATTTAATGCTAAAAATGTAATTTGTAATGTAAAACTTGTGAAATTAAAGCAAATAATTGTCTAATTTGCTAAAATTCAATGAGAATTAATACACCTACTTGTAATTGTATTGATGGGTATTATGAAGATGAGTAATTAAATTGTTAAAGTAAATTTATTTCTTAAAATAAGTTTGTGCTTCTAAATGCAATACATGCTTATAGGAATCCTCAAATTGTTTGACTTGTCAGCCAGGAAGAATTGAAAAAGATTGCAAATGTATTGATGGATATTTTGAAACTGGATAAAAATTATGTTAATGTATTAAATTATTAATATTTAAATAGAATGTGCATTTTAATGTGCTACTTGTATTTAAGATCCTTTTAATTGCAAAACTTGTAAAAGTAATAGATTGTAAGTACCATTATGCATATGTGAATCTGGATATTACGATGATCAATTAAATGAAGATTGCTAAAAATGTGATAGTACTTGTTTAGAATGCAATATGAATGGATGTTTATCTTGCTTTGCTAATAGAGAACTTAATGAAGAAATGAATTGTATTCCACCACCAAACTCAATTTGGTATGATGATACTCCTTGGTGTTCAAGTAAATTATTCCAAAATATTATTCCTAGCTTGTCAAGTTGCAGTAGTTAATTCATATCTATCAGATGACCTTAGTATGATTATTATCCATTTTGATTTTCCTTTGGATCCTAAGAGTTTCGATTCTTATTTAGAAGTTAATAAATGCTTGTAATTATTTGAATTAATATCTGTACAAAATTTTGGATAAAATTCAATTTGTACCTTTAACTCTGAGAATAATAAGGAATTATTTATATATCTCGGAGAAAACTCTAAAATGAATGTTGGTGAAGCGATCAAATTTAAAGATAATTCATTATCTCATATTAATTGCGAAACTACTTTAAAAACTTTTATCTTTGCAACATTATAATTACCAAAGAATCCATTACCTCCTAAAATTAATTATCATGTACCCCTCCATAAACTAAATCCTTTTGCTGAAAATTAAGTATATTTACAATCAGTTAAAAACAATGGAAATCGAAAGTTAATAAACATTGATTGGAGTTGTTAGGTTGAATTTGGCGAATCTAACTCTAAGCTTAATTAATTTTTGGATTAAATTAACTTTCTCTAAGAATAAAATTTATTAATACCAAAACTTACTTTACCTAGTAATGCAGTATTAAAATTTAGGATATAATATTAAAATTTTATCCTTATTTCATCTTATTCTGAATTTACAATTTACACTCATTCAGGAGATATTCCATAAATTAATATAGACATAAAGCCCTCATATTTTTTATATGAAACAATTAATATTGGGATTTCTGTTGGTACTTTAGTAAATTCAATTTCATATGAGTCTTCTAAATACTAGATTTAACTTATAGAAATTGATAGATATCCTTAAAAGTCATCTTCATCAAATTTGAATACTACAATTGATTCAAATTCCTTTGAAATGGTCTATACAACTATTCCAAGATATACTTTAAGCAAAAATTCAACTTATACATTTTAAGTCACTGCAACTAATTTAAATTCTAACATATCTAATAATTTATAATTTACTTTTGAAACTAAAATGGCTGGATTGCTTTGTTAGTTCAACAATCAAGGAATTTAGAATATTAGGAGAGATTTAAATCTCTAAATATAATGTGAAGATTTTGATTCAAAATATGAAAGGTAAAGTGATCCAGACTTAAATATTGAAGTAGCTTGTAAAGATTTATCATTTAATACTTCATGCAAAAATGAATAATAATAAATAATAAATGTAAATAAAACTGATTCTTTTCAATTCATTTAAAAGAATACAATATCCACATTTACTGTCTAAGAATGGACAGTAACTGCTAAAAAATTTCAATAAATTTCTAATTTTGCTTTTGTTATTGTTTATCTTGATGATGATTTTCCTTAATTAGAATTATAATTCAATAAAGGTTATTTAATGAGGAAAATCAATAATTATGAATTATTAAATTTTACATATCTAATACCTTTTGAAAAGAAAATTCATTTATTAGATCTATCAATTACAATTATTTATGACTATTAGATAATAGAAATATTGCAACCAAAATTTATTTCACATCACTTTAAGATATTTAATAGCATTAAAGAATTAAAGTTTGGTGACAAAATAAATCTTAAATTTGCAGCTTAATATACTAATAATATCATGCCAAGCATACAAAATATAAAATTATCTATTAATTAGCCTGCTAAATGTTCTAAATTACTTCTTAATCGTTAAAGCGAATTTGCACTTACTGATTTTTTAGTAGCAACAACTTGTGAATAATCAAATGATTCTCCTTATAAATATTAGCTTAGATAATTCTTGAGAGAATCTGATTTAACAGATTTTTTAAATGGAATATCAGATAATTCCTTAATTTTCTATCCATTTCAAACTTAAAATTAATTCTCAATTTAAGCTCCTTCTTCTGTTGACTCAACAAAAATTGGAATTTTAATAGAAGTTCTTGATAATGGGGGATCAATAACTCATACGTTTGAAAAAATTTCAATTAAACCTGCAAAAATAAATTGTTTATCAATACAATTTAAAAATTTAACTTTATAAAACAAAATAACTCTACTATTTGAAGCAATGAATCAAAAATGTGATGAGCTTCATTAATAAATTTATCTTGATTTGATAAAATCTTAAATTTTGCCAGAAAAGAATGCGAATATCCTGAAATTTTAAGCTAATAAATTATATTAATAGTTCTTAATCTCTTCAGAAGAAATTATAACTAAAAATCTATTGTTGTATGAAGAAATTCAAAAAAAATGTTTAGATCTAAATTCAAACCATTTATTTATTACTTAAAATTCCACATAATCTGAAGTAAATATATCTAAAAAGATAGAAAATTTCAAAAAAAATAGTGAAGATTTTAATAGAATTTAATAATATTTTATTACAATGAAAAAACAATGCGAATAGGAGCTTTAATAAAATTTATATATTTGGAATGAATAAATCTTTTAATAATATTTAAATTCGTAAGATTGCTTAAGAAGTTTAATATACTATCTTGATGATATCTATTCTGATTTTTCATTAATAAATATAAAAGATGAAACCATAGATCAAATTATTGAGGAGTTGTTAAGATTTATTAATATAATTGCCGAAGAAACTCAAAATTTTATATTAGTAAACGAAAGGCCTTTAGTTCTTAAAGGAATTGAAATTATTTGGAAAATCAAAAGAAGAACTAAATAATTATTCAATCACTAATTTAATATCCAATAAGCTTAAGAAGATTACCTTATAGATTTTATTTAATTTGAATATGCTTATTTGTAAACAAATCCTCTAAGATTTAACTTGAACCTAGAAGAATTACTCAAAACATATTTTAATGACCGAACTATACAAATATTCACAGATAATTACTATCAAATTAAGTTGAAAAACTTTTATCATAGAAGATTTTAAGAATATGAAAATTTTTCATCTATTTATGACACACAATTTGGATCCTATCAAGTATGCTAAAATACTTCGTAATTCTTATCTGAATATGAAATATATTGTGTAATTAGAACAATAACAGGAAAATTTTATTAGTGTAATTTGAATAGAGTATAAAATAACAATACAATTGAGTTACATTGTGAATGTGATAAGTTTGGTGAGATTTTCCTTACAACCTCTACAAAATTAATTGTAAATGCAAGTGAATCTCATAAATAAATATATAATCTTGAATTAGCTTCCAAATCTGACGACATATTACCTTTATAACTTAGTACATGCTTTTTGTCATTAATATTTTTGAGCATTTTTATTTTTTAATTATATAAAGATAAAAAAGTCTAATAAGAGAGGTTTGATACCGAATAAAGTAATTTGAGCCCTCCAATTATATAAGAAAAAAATAGTCTAATGTATCATGGTACTTCTAAAGTGTATATAGAAAAATTTAAGGTAACACTTAATTGTATATTAGCAAATCCATTAATCTATTTCATTATTTTATTATAAAGACAACAATATTGAATTTAGTTATAGAATTTTAGAAATATTCTCTTAATTCAATTTATAATTAACTTTAACAATTCTTGAATGTTATTTGTTAAATAATTAAATTCTTTTGATTTGTGTTTTCATAATACTCAACCCTTTAATCATTTTGTTGACGAGAATATTTTATAAAATAATTGAAGCAATATATAGGTTCAAAAGAATCGCTGCTTTTATTAGCCACCTTCTACATATCATATTATTGATGTCCCCAAATCTTATCATCTATATTTTTTACATATCAAAGTATCTATTAAACTATCTTAGAATTTCAATGCAATCAGAATAATATATAGTTGCCATTATATATTTAGGAAATATTCTGATTTCACAAATCCTAATAGAACCGCTTACAGTATTTGGAAGAATATTAATTTATAGATTAATAGCTAAAAGTCTGAAAAACATGGATTTAAATCCTGTGTTTCATTTAATGCACTTTTTTGTTATGCATAGCAGTCTAGAAGAAATATTTGAAGAATTCACAAAAATTTGATAATAAAATCATTCAAATATTTTTATTAATTTCATTTTCTATATTATTCATTTTAGTGATATTGCTATATTAATATCGATATGTGCTCATTGAAAATTTTATTTAATTGAAAATTATCTATTGGGGTTGGTTATCCCCATGGATTTTCTTATATTTTCTTTCCTATGTTCTTTTTTTTTTCTCTGATACTATTGTCATTTTTCTTCAACATGGTTCTATTATATAGTAAGTAGGTTGGCCTGAAAATATATATAGTAATAATAATATGGATAATAATAATAATAAGCCTGAAAATATATATAGTAATAATAATATGGATAATAATAATAATAATAGAGATGATAATAATAATTTTTCCTATAGACTATATATATAGGGGGTTAGTGTTGGCGCAAAGTTGAGCCCAAAAGGGGCTTAATTTTATTGAAACGATAAAATTTTAGTCAATATTT